AAAGTGGAGTGATAACGAATCATGAAACATTAATATTATCTCTGGAAAAGCCTATTTTAGCTGTGCTAATGCATCTGCCACCACAAGATGAAAATCGAGCAAACTTTTTCAATCGCGTGTTATTCTCGCATCACGTAAGTCGTTGTCCGATTGATCATGTCTTGGACATTTAATCTTGGCTTGTCCCTAACATGAATATTTGCATAATACAGAGTGGGTTACAACAGAACGAGAATTTGTTGTTAGAATTTGTATTCTATACGTTGGATTCTAAAGGAGTTGATGAAGCGCTGAATACATTCGAAGTGTAATGAATCTAAGCCTGTTTTGTAACATATTTCGAAATGTTCTGACACTCTACGCATGTTTATCATAGGCACCTCACCACACCCCCCTATAGCGAGAATCCTGTCTTTTTAGGATACGTTGGCTTGATGGCCTATGCGTTGTGGCAACGACGTTCTGGGCGATTAAATAACGAGATTGATTCGACAAGTGAAGAAGAGAGTATGCAAAATGAATCTATTCTAGTCTACAAGATTTAGCCAGTTAGTTCGTTCAGCGAATAAAGAAATGACGCTGAATTTTTAGATCGGATGGAGGTTTGTTCTTATACGCCAAAGTATTACTACTCAATTGCGTGTCAATCCCTGGAAACATCACTTGAGTTGGATATTAATAATGATTTATTTCTTGATACGTACATCAAGGTTTGTATCCTGTAAATAGCACAAATCCTTTCGATCCATCGTTCACCTAACAATAGTCTTTAGCTCTTAGTCGCAAACGACGAAATAGATAAAGCAATATCGATGGCAAAAAAAGCTTTTGAGAACAGTGATAATCGACTAACGACACACAGGTATACAGTCACATGCGAGCTAAAACCATAAAGTATCTCTATTCACGTATTATTTCTGTTTTCTATTTATAAGAATACTTGTTACTCTTCTTTACACTTATCAAGGAACTGATAGGGAATGGCTGTCCGTAGCGAAATCTTATCATCAATTGGATCCCGTCGGCTGTCCAGAGATTGCCTTATTACCATTAATCGAGCACTATGATGCTGATATAAAGCGTTACGATGTTGCTAGCAGTAAGAAAAATTTGGGCATAGATTATTAAGCTTATTTTCTTTTGAACTAACTGTTATTGTATTGTTGTAGAGCACACAGGGAAGATAGTCAGTCACAAAATTGTGAAAGCCCACAAAGCTGTTCTGAAAATGCTTTTTGCAAGAATAGAACACGGCGATGTACGATGGGAGATATTAAAAGAAACTGTTAAGCGTATACTACATATAGAGTGAGTTCTGGCCGATGTTTTGCACTTTGCTATCTATAAGCTGACAATGTTTAGATTCTCATTTATCCACACTCTTTCACCTACCCAGTACACTATCGCCAACATCCCTCCACTCCCTATTCTCTAGTCGCCCTTATCTGCCTGGTTTGCTCTTTAAACATCGACAAACAGATACATCTGTTTCTCGGCAAGGTCTTTTTGATGTGATTGGGCAATACGTTGAACCGTTTGGTCATTATGTGGTTAAAGATGAGGAGCTCACACTGAACTACATTAGCAAGTTGAAGGAAGTTGTAGTGAATAAGGGCGGAGATGTCGACGACATACCATGGGAAGAGTATAAACTTCGGAAGAAAAGGAAGAGTAAACAGAGTAACAGTGATAGCGAAAGCGAAGGTGAAAGCGATGCAAGTTATTCAAATAATGACGATGATGGGTCTATGTATGGAGCGGAATATGAATCTGAGTGAATAAATAAACCTTGACGAGTAAGATAAGTCTCTCTTTCCTCGATTAGCAATCGAGTCCATCTTACCTTGAGAAACAAGAACGTAAGTTTGTATATTAAATACTAGATGTAGCTTTGGAATAAGTTCGTGTTTTTTGAACTAGAAGCATGATCAATCAAAAGCAAACTACAGATGATATTATCCTTATTAAGCAGTTATTCGAAAATCAACCAACATCCTATCAAGTTAACAATTTACGATGACGACTAGCTTTATTAGACTAAAGCTTCTCGTACCATTAATGCTATATTAATATTTAATCGTCTGCTGAGCACAAGCAAATAATACGGCAAGGACGGCCATGGAATAAATACAATTGTATGGACAGCTGCTTAACTGATATATAACTTCTCCACGAAACCCCCCCCCCCCTCCCCCTACAATTTACTAATTGCTTACGATACTTCTCATTGTATATCTTCTTTTCTTGCAAATCCACTTAACGTAACTTTTGAATTTTTCATCCATTAAAACGCGTTTCCAGAAATTTCAATCCTCAAGCAAATTAGATGTCATTGAGAAAGTCTCATTCTCGTAATTGAAAGATTACAGTCATCGCGCCTGTACAGTATATAAAATTGCACATTATTTGACTTTGATATAAATATAAACTTTGTTAATATAAACTTCACGCTTCGAAATTTGAACAATTTCTTGCGATTTTGTTCATCTGTTCCAGCGAGCGATAACGTCATTTCGCATTTTTCTATCTATTAATTTCCTTTTGGGTGGCTATAATTAGGATTTAAACATTCGATTGTGAAACCCACAATCCTTTGTGGCGTAAAATTCAAAACCTGTGTGTATACAACGAAAGCACCCCCGCACTCAGTAAACATACTCAAAAATCCAGAATGACATCATCAAGCATTGGCAACTCGTGTTTCGTGTAACATCTTAAATGAACTCTGGTTTATTTAATCGAACCACTCTTACCATTGAATATTGTTAAAATTCTTGAATTAGTCAATAGGTTATCATGTCAGATGAATATGTAAAGTTGTCCATATTTGGGACCGCATTCGAAGTTACGACGAGGTAGGAAATGAGTATGTTGGGGAGAGGGTATGCGAGAGAAGTTTGGCAATGCTCGGAATGCAACAATCGTCAAACAGTTCTAAGCATTTCACTGATTACATTTCAGATATGTTGATTTACAACCTATCGGCATGGGAGCATTTGGTCTAGTATGGTAAGGCTACTGACGACGTGAAATATTGGTTATTTTGAATATTAAAATCGGTTTGTTCTCTTTCTGATTAAGCTCCGCTAAAGATCAGTGGTCAGGAAATAGCGTAGCCATTAAGAAGATCATGAAGCCATTTAGCACTCCTGTATTAGCGAAAAGAACTTATCGTGAATTGAAATTGCTTAGGCATTTGAAACATGAAAATGTATGACTTTGATTGAATGTTATTACGTTATCTGTTATGTCAAAGTTGGTAACCGAAATCTTGGGGTTTGTTTACATAGGTCATCGGTCTTAGTAATATATTTATCTCTCCTTCGGAAGACATGTATGCAATATGCGTGGTGAAAGATTATCATGTATAGATACGTCAATCTGCATACGACAAAACGCCCCATTTTGTTTTAACGTTATGCATACCATTTGTGATTTTTAGATATTTTGTCACCGAGTTGCTAGGGACAGATCTACATAGACTGTTGATTTCTCGGCCGCTGGAAAAGCAATTTATTCAGTATTTTTTCTATCAGATTTTGGTAAGCTACTTTCTATATTATTTATTATCTATTTTGCTGAATCTGAGTGAGTTTGCGATGCCACGATCTTGTACATCTTAATACTAGCAATTATTTTTTCCAACGGTTCTTTGAATAGAGAGGGCTGAAATACGTCCATTCTGCTGGTGTGGTCCATAGAGATCTGGTGAGTAATTTTCAACAGCCTTCCCAACCGTAAGTTTCATCAAAATTGCTCACTTTTGCTGAAAATGGGACATTGTTAGAAACCCAGCAACATACTTGTAAATGAAAATTGTGATCTAAAGGTGAGCTGAGCATACAACTATGTACTCGTGCATTATATATTATAATGTCTTTATTATAATGAATTGGCTGTTCTATTGAGCTAACCCAATCTCTATTTCTTTATTCTCATTCTCGTTAGATTTGTGACTTTGGGTTGGCTCGTGTTCAAGATCCTCAAATGACAGGATATGTATCGACACGTTACTACAGAGCACCCGAGATTATGTTAACCTGGCAGAAGTATGATGTAGCAGGTGAGTAATTCGATCAGTCAAGTTTGCTACCACACATAACAATAATTATCTGACTCATGAATGCGTAGTCGACATATGGAGTGCTGGTTGTATTTTCGCTGAGATGCTTGAAGGAAAGCCTCTCTTTCCAGGAAGGGATCGTAAGTACAGATTTCCGGCAACGTTCTTCTTTCTTTTTTTTTTTTCGCTTTGGCAACTAAAATAATTTTCACATTGTCTTAGATGTCAATCAGTTTTCAATTATCACAGAATTGTTGGGAACGCCTCCTGACGACATTATTCAAACAATTGGCAGCGAGAATGTAAATATTAACTGATTCATTGCTGCTAGAAGTTCCAATTTATGCTAAAGTTATTATTTGTCGTAGACAAGGAAATTTGTGGATTCGTTACCAAAACGAGAAAGAGTTCCTTTTGCGCAAAAATTCAAGAACGCGGATGCGGATGGTAATGACTATTTATGATTTAATTATATTTCTTTATTTTAAATTACTTAGCTTTTACACTCCCTCTCTTCCCTATCAATTTCTTTATATGATGATATTAGCGTTGGATCTTCTGGAAAGAATGCTTGTTTTTGATCCTCGAAAGCGCATTACTGCCGCAGAGGCGTTAGCACACAAATACGTAGAACCATATCATGATGAGAGTGACGAACCAGTTGCAGAGGTGCCATTTAATTGGTCATCTATTGAAGCTGACTTGCCGGTAGATAGCTGGAAGAGTATGATGTATGCAGAAATTTATGGTGAGTGATTATTTAAAGCTATAGGCTTATAATACGTTCTGTCGTTGTGTGTATGTCACGGCTGGAGAAATGTAACTCATTTTTATTGTACAGATTTCCGCAACGAGGACACCATGTAATTGTTATTGTGTTGAATAGACTAATGAGTTAAAATTCGAGATTTTATCTTATATTCTACACTTTATATCGGGATATATACACATGTATTTAATATTTTATTATTCGATCATATCATGTTTCTGGTTTCGTTTGTTTTGGGGTGATCTGGGAGGAATTAAGCTCCCTAACCTCGAAACAAACGTTGGATGAGCCTCATTTACAACGTATATTGCTTTGCAATATTCAAAGCCAAATTTAAACTTTGTCATTATGGTATGTTGTAGACGAATTGGACGCTTAACGTCACTTACAATCTTTTGCTTAAGTTATCTTACAGTTCTATAGCGCCAGTTCTCGAACTAATTTGATACGCCAGTATAACAATGCTATGTTCCAAACAAAACGAAATATTCAGATTTACGGCCTGTCTTTTACTCAGTATCGCCCACACCAAGACGATCTGTTTCTTGTCAATGCGATTTCGTAAATTGCACAATGATATTCAATTATGATCAATTACAAACACGTTCAACAATTCGCTATAACTGACTATCCAAACTATCTTTGGTACACAATTTCCATTATGAATTGAGAACATATTGCAAGAATAGATTACAAATAAAATTGGGCTTGGCTATTTGGCTGATTTGATATGGAAAAAGGGACACAATAGTCTGATTCAGATGTTTCTACAATGGCTGGCACGTTGATATAAAACATGTTCGATGTCATTTAATCGCATTAGTATTATAATTTCGTTTGAACTATAAAGCAGGTAGTCAAGTGGATATAAAGGATTGTACACATCTTATACATTTCAAGCTGTTACATAGTATTAACTCTCTAAGCAGCTGCCGTTATCGTGGATGACGCGTCATCACAATATAATATTAAAATTGCGCAAAATGTGAATCAAAATTCAATTAATTAATTAGAGAAAGACTGTTCGCGGGATTTTCTACTCATCATTCGTAAGTTACAGTATAAGATACTTATTGACATTTGCCGAAGGATTATTATGTATGGTGATAGACAATTATTACATATAAACAACAACAAAGACGCGTACATGAGAAACAGAGCTTTCAATTGATACCAATTTTGTTACTAAAACTGACCGCGCAAACTTATGTATGAATATTGGTATTAGTCACAAATACCACTATGAATCAGACATGTTAATTAAGTGGTTTCTAGTTATAACATTGTCAACGCATGCAATGCCAAGCATGTTGAGATAAGCTTCTTGGCATAGATGTACATTGTGATCTCAAAGATAGAAGTTTTTTCATGAGATCTCGTTTTCTTTTCAAACATTGGATGCTAATTTGATCATCCATAATTGCAATACAATTACAATGGTGTAAGGTTTTCTTTGGAAGCGTCGGAATCATTTGCTTCATTGGGTATGTGGCTATGATCACTATTATTGGTAATATGAATGAATCATGCTATAGTTTTCGAAGGAAGAGCATTCGACTAAGGAAGCACCTGTGACAGCTAAGTTTTTATGCCAAGAGACTAAGTAGAAATCTACTGCAATTCAGCGCGTCTAAGACGGCCGACACCCTCACTGAGGTAAATACAGAAAAAATAAAATATTGTTATTATTGGTATCGGAATAAGGTTTGGCCGCGGTACCGTTTTAATTAAAGTTTATCTCACGAAACGCTCTTCTGGATTAGACTCTGTCTAAACTATTCATGTGAATTTTGATTAAGGATTTCCCCTTTTAAACAAACAATTGTTAGGCAATGGGAACGCAGTGTCTTGCCAAATATAACGCTAGAACTTTTTGGTTTAGACTGTTACCTGAATAATAATAATAAGTCGATGTTAAAGTATCTTAAAAAAACGCAACAAGCATCGAAACAAATTATAACGTTTGTTACTTGCTCTTAAACGAGTTTTTATCCAAATAACGACAAAAACATTTTATCCAGTTTCTCAGGTAATGCGCGATATTTTATTATTTGGTTTCGAAATTCCTTAACTATATCTCATTAAAGATATATATACTTTTAAAGGTATTAACATTTGCGACTACCATAAACCATGGGACTTTGGAGCAAATTTTGCGAAAGTATTTGGAAAGCGGAGAGCTTCTTAAATGAAACAATGATGGAATTGGCAACGGGAACGACAGTCGTTGCAATCAATCCTTTTGCTGTTCCCCTCGATGCGTCATGGTTGTAAAATACAACTTACAAAATACTTGTCTTAGTAGCCAGGAACGAGACGAGGTCAATGAAATTATGTCAAAGGAGTTGGAGCAGGAATTGTAAAACATATAATGTTATTGTTTTTTTTCTCTGTTAATTTTATGGGTTATTTGGGCTGGCGTCTGGCATCTTCCTTAGTTTATTTTTTCTTGTTGTTGTTTTTATCAAAATTTAATTGTTTGCAATTTTTATGAAAGAGAGTTCATCACTCACATTCTGAGTTTGTTCTTGGTAACAGTTATTATTGTTAACAAGGTTTCTTCATGTATACAAATGATATCTAATCTTGACTTATTATTTGTTCTTATGGATTTGATGGTTGATGAAGTACATGTAAAATAAAGTGCAGTTTGTTTTGTCGAGTTCAAATATTAGTCCAAGACTATGATGTCAATTATTTGTTCCTGGCTCAATATACTTGACACAAATAATTAACCATGGTAAAAGTCCAAGAAATAATAAACGAGGTTTATTCCAAATAGGATAAAGAAAAGATAATTTTTATTGATATAAGTGATAAAAATTTGGAGGTCGTTAAAGTCCTGGCGTTGCTTACAGGAGTGGTTTCATGATAAAATGGTGAGAAGACAAGAATTTACAGTAGGGCGTCATAAGTATCTGAACGCTCCTAGCTTGGAACAGCAACTAGTAAACGCTTCGTATAAAGTGCATGATCACCTGTAAAATTTCAACCCGATCTGAAAATTTTCCAAACACTCAAGTTTTTACCTAGGGATATCTCGCGATTTGACCGTATGAATTCAGAAATTCATATCTCGACACTTTTCTAACCAAGTTTTGTAATTTTTGTTTTATTTTATCGTTAAAATACGTTTACATTATTTCAGAAAAGATTACTGTATGATTGCTACTACAAAAGCAAATAATAGTACGGCACGATGATATCGATAAATAGTACGCGCGTTTGTTGCAAGTACAATAACGGTTTTCTTCTAATTCGACCATGCATCTCAAGAAAAACACAGAGATAATTTGACAAACAAACAGAAAAAGATTGCGCAAATCGATTAGAAACATGTGGAGATATTGATTCTGAAGTTTATGTTGAAATAAACGACGTGCGGCTTCGATACGTTTTTATATGTTTTAGATGCTAATATTGGATGTTTGGAAAATTTTCTGATCATGGTTTGTTATGCACTTTATACGAAGCTGTCCCAAGCTAGGAGCGTTCAGATACTTATGCGCCCTACTGTATATAATCGAGTTTGATTATTTTTAATTCCGCATTAGGAGATGTGAATATACTGTAACGCGAACCGTATCGTGATTCTATGCAACCTTCTTCATAGAGTGTGTCCCACTGCGCGAAAAGTCTCAACGTAATCGTTAATATAGATAATTCCACTATTAATCCAATTTTTACGATTTTTTATCGTGAGCTTCTAATTAATGTACCCTCCGCGGAAATATTAAATACCAGTCGGTTGTCAATGAATAGCAGACGTAGGATTCTTTTCACAAAAGAAATAATAATACTGGGGCTTGAGCATTCTGCTCCCGAATAAAAGTGAGAAAAGAATTACGACAGTAATGTAATTTATTGTAAATGGTTGTGGTGACAAAAGCTTACTTAACCTTTAATTTGGGAATCACCAAACTCTTTCCAACAAGTCTGCTATAGAGATAATAAACAATATTGTGATCTCTCCGGACATGAGATCTTAGTCTGAGTGTCAATGTTCGTTTAAATCTTTCCTATCTTTCATATATTAACTCAATCCAACCATTTGTCTTATATCTGTCTGTCTGCTCATTACTACCATTCCCGGAAAATGTTCAACCAATATACTGTTTCTCTGTGATTGACTGTATATGCTACTGTGCTTCTTATATACACATATTACTACGTAATTAATAAAAAGTTCTGTTTTCATTAATTCTTCACAAATCCATCTACAAGTCATGAGCTTTTTATTCGGCTCCGACGTTCGAATCCCCGTCTTCCTATGCAGCTTATGACTTTATTATTTAGTTTTTTGGCTATCCAGAATACAGGTAATTTATAGGGCACGTAGCGCGAGAATAGAGCACGCTCATCGTTGCGTGGCCTCGGCTGAGCGTTACTTGCCATAATAATGTACTAAAGCGTAGTTGAATACCCGTGCGAAAATCAAAACCATTATTAAAACATTCGAAACGCGAGTTGGAAATTATATTCATATAAAGTAATATATACTTACAACTGGAAATACCATGGCAAATATGCCGGCACTAAAAAATTTGTTAACGAAGAATGTAACCCCGGTAAACAAGAAACCTTTTAAAAAGACAATATCATTGAGTATTTCATATCAACGTCTTCCATCAGTTACACTTAAAATCGGCATATATACCAAATCCGGCAAAATAAGCCCATCTCTCTTCAAAATAATCAATCCTTTGTTCCAAGTTCCATCTCTTGGCTGTCCATTTGTATCTGTCGAGACATTTTGTTAGAGAAAAATATTTCAAGCCAGAAAGCGAGATCGAACATGTGACTTACTCAAAACTGTAAAAAGCGTATATCCAACAGATAAACATAAAAGACAACGCTGGACCAATGATCGGTATTACATAGACCAGCGTCGCTACAATGAGATAGTTCATCAATAGCAACGCTCGATAGATCTCATCAGCCACAACCTTTGGTAATCTAACAAAGAGTAAAAGGCCCGATAAAGAAAGATTCGATACGCTATCAAATCAAACAACACCATCCGACTATCAGAATCTCTTACCTGGAATACGTCAGCTGTTGGTTAGAGGGTTGTCCGTATTTTATTCTGTAGGCTCTATCTGCAATTTGTTGATACCACATAGCATTCAAAACAAAACTGAGTAAGAAAACTGGGTATATCCAAAATAACTATTAAAAAAGAGAGAAGAGAGAGTTTATAATGGTTGACATATTAATAATGAAATCACAAAGTTGTCATTATAACACATACCAGATATGTCAATTTCACAAGCCACCCTAAAATAATCGCAACGAACAGTGATTTCTCTCCACCCTCTCTTCCTCCTTCTTCCGCGCCTTCATTTCCCAGAAAGAAATGTAATATTGGCAACGTAAAATTATTAAACAACGCTATGCTGCCCAAGAATATGATGCCGTTCAGGGTGAAACACTTTAAGGCCCGATTTCGAATCGTGCTTGACCTGCTCATAATTCAACAAAGGATAAATAAAATAGATGACCATACTATTGCGGGATTTCTTTTCATCAAACTCTTTCTTCTTCTCTTATTGAATGTATACCTACATATATATTATGATCAAACTCGATGGCCAGGCAAACGCATCCTTAACGCCATACCAGAAATACTTTACGCATAGCTTCAACGTATCCTGCAAGCCAAGTCTTTTTACTGTTACTGCCGGTTTTGGTGGCTTTTCCGGTTTTACTTGTTTTACTGACTTTATGGATTCCGTTGGTGTCCCCTGAGGTAACTGCTTTGGCGAGCTATGTATGTTTGGCATATTCTGGCATTACACAGTCAGTGTTGAGACTCTTCACTGGGATAGTAGAATGGGTAGTTATTTACGTGTGGTCTAATATATGAGTTAATGACGGATAATTAAGGTATTCCATCGAAAGACTAGTTAGTAACTGAATATGAATTTTACTTGCACAGATCTGCTGGTCAAAAAGAAACAATCCCAGCCAATGTGACACCGCATAAGCGTGGAAAAATTATTGAACTCGTGATTACAGACCAATTGATTATGCAGACTTGTCTGACAATGATTTCATAAATGATAAATAGCAAGAATTTCTGATTCGCATTGAGCCTCATAATGAAATTCAGAGCTGACAAACAGTCATGTGTACGTTACAAAAAAAAAAGACCGAATATGGTTTAGGTTCATATTTATTTATAATGATAAACCAAAATATTTACCGAATTGTAAAGTACCTCATAATCGATTATGGCACTGCCATGGGAAACTTTTACCGAAGGAGCATGTCTTCGTATTACAAACCCGTGCACACCGCAACGAAAGATATGTTCCATGAACTTTTTTTTTCTTTTTTACTTTCTGCATAGCGCCAAATAAGGCAACCAAAAGAAAATCATCAATAAAATGTTTACAGAAAACCCCAATTTTGTGCGTTATCTCCGCGATCACGTCATGCGCATACTTTTTGATGGGCAACTGTCTGGTGCATAGAGGATTCGTAATGTGTTTGTTTATTAGAGGACGGCTTACAACGTCATTGTGGTTTTGAGGCTTACGTCAGACTGAATACATTATTTGGTGATCATTATCGTGCGAATGGACAAAGACATTGCTAACTTGACGAAAAAGGGCAAGTTTCATTGGAAACGTGTTTCTCCTGGTATTTCAAGCTAGATACTTTTGGTTATTAATTTAGTATGCATTAGAAAATATTCAGCATTGAGTTCGTACTCCCAAATAAACTAGACATTCTTACTCTCCATATCCCGTAATGTGTTAACTTTCAATGAAATTTACGTCTGATTTTGCTAGTCTACTTCATTACGACAAAGCGTCATTAACCTGGCAAAGGAATGCAATAATAATTTTGATTTTGACTAAAGAAGTGTAAGCCTTGGCAAACTTTTATTCCTAAATAGCTATCATGAACTGAATCTGGATAAGGATAAGAATTAGTGAGTCATTCACAAGCAACTATTCCAAAGGCTGTTTTTGCCGCTTTTTATTCGTTCATCCTCTAATTCATTAACAGTTTTTCGTCTTTGCGGTGAGATCAACTTTTCTAATAGTATGATGTGAACGCACAACTGACTATTTGCTGCCTCTAGAATGTGAATCCCAACAATAGGTTAAAGAATAATAAATTAGAAAACGAACATGACGATAATAAATTTAATTCGCACTAGATTGACCGCTGCTGCCTTTATTATTCACGTTAATCGCAACAAATTAGAAACCTATACTTGCAAAAAAAAAAATCCTCCATGGGTATTGCGTATCCCAGCGGCAATAATAACGTGTCATTTTGATGGAGACGATCATAGAGAAGTCAAAAGGTGATAGCTAATTCTCATTGAGAGCGAATATGTCCGGTCGTTCAGCCACATTTAGTAAAATTTTACCCAGTAATTGTCGACCGATTTCACATGACGTAATAATAATAATAATAAAAATAAATAACGTGTTAGGCGCGTTTATATTCAAAAATATTTTTTCCCAAGAATGCAAGCTTTACGCAATCGTCTACTAATATCGATAATAAAAGAAAAGGCTGAGACTGCTTCCGTAAGCGAACCTCCTAAAATTGCGATATCTTTTTACGAAGAGCTTAAATTCCGCCACGATCAAGCAGAGCAAGTTTTCAGAAACACCGTCGAATGTCTTTTAAAACACTATGACAAGAAAGTGAGAAAATACGCGAATTATATGAAGAGTGATGATTATCAGTTTCTTGGCTTATAAACTTGCGATCAATACTGGAGAAGACTTGCAATTGAACATTATGAAGAGGTATGCAATAAAGACTCGGTACTATTAGTTTTGTTTAGTATGCTTCTTACTCTCTTCTTTACTGTAGAAAGGACGTCTTTATCAGCTTCAACACAGGACCAATGCAGAAAGAGAGTTATGGAATTTGATACTAAAATTGGACAAAAGTGGATAGCCGATCTTGATCACCAAAGCAAGAGAAGGCGTCGTGACGCAAATCCTCTAAGAAAATATCCAGACTACGAGGTCAAAAGGTCAGCGCTAACATAAATCAATATAATTATCTATCTTCATTAACCACCAATTTTGCGTTTAGCCGAATAGGGGATGACACAGAAGATGAGAGCCCAAGCGAGAGTGAAGGCGAAAGCGAAGACGAAAGTGAATCTGACAAGAGGTTTTACTCATTATCTATAAAGTAATAAGTTTTGGCGGTGAGGGTACTTATGTCTTCTATCTAATTTTCTTTATAAGAAATGGCATAAAAGCGGTTGGTGAAGGAGAAGCTGAAAGCGATTTAATATAACTGATGATGAATTTGACGAAAGTTTAACCTCTGGTTCTAATTTATGCTTTCTCGAATTTCCGCTGAATTCTTTTTTGTTACTGTACAGACGAAATATCAATATTTCCGATCGCTTTGCGGGAGATCAAGACGTTGAACTGAAGAAATGGATATTTGAAAATCAAGTTCCTGACATAACCGATAAGGAAAAGGATGCAATAGACAGTTATGTCTTCGATGTATTTCAGGTACTTGTAACATGGTATCCCGCAATGGTATAACTACGATTTTGTTTTTCTCACAACCATTTTACTAGCGTGATGTAGAAAGCACAATAAAGTCTATTGAGGAGAAGGAAGTCGACCTCAATCCAAAGGACGCTGCGTTCGTAAAAAGAATTTTGGATACATAGTAATAGTAAGACAATCAGCTGGTCTCAATTAGTCCTTATCGAGTTTACTTGATATTATCCTAAATCTCAGGGCTTATAAGTGGAAATCTGAATTCAACGAAACCATGAGCGAACAGCAGTGTGGATTGCGCCAGATTTCGAAATTTTGAAAAACAAAGATCCCGGATTGTTTGATAGCTCATGGTGCGAAATGGTCCATCCATCATCGAAATGGCGAAGACGTAGTGTGCACAAGTCCAATACGAAGGCTGGCAGGAAATGTGACGGCGTACTTTTCACAAAAAGTTGTGCAATAGAAAGATTAGTGTTCGAAAACGTTTGCTCCCCGAAAAAAGAGAAATGGCCAAAGTATTACAAGTGCGTTAAGAGATTTTATTTAATAAATATCTAAATTACTTTCTAATAAACCATGTATATCAAATAATAAATAAATAAATAAATAAATAAATAAATAAATAAATAAATAAATAAATAAATAAATAAATAAATAAATAAAATATTCGCCTTAGATGGACTTCACGAAGTGGGGGAAAATTGTTACGTTTTAGAAAAGAATGACGAGTTAATTATTGAGTTAAATTTTAGAATAATAACTTAGCCGACAGTACCATTTTCTAATTTTTCTTACCTGTTGGGAAGAAAAAATAAAATTAAAGAAGCCAAGAAAGTTAATTAATTCTTTCATTGAAGCCACCACTGAAGCAGGAGAATTGATTGTTGAATAAGATTTAAACCTCTGTTTTGTTATTCTAGCGAGTTTCATGAATACCTATAGTAATGGAATATTTTTTATTGAAACTTCTTAATCGCTATATAAAATCCCGCTAGACAAGGATCTGTGTTCGGATCAGACCGCGAGCCTTTGCGCCGGCCCACGGCGATCCCCTGGCCTAGGAATTTTACATAGTTTTTTAGTACACTGGATCGAAGAAATAAATTTAAACTGTGAATTCCCGATTTCTAGACTAATGATTGGTTTTCCATAGCGACAGTGTCAACTAAGACCGAATGCTAACTAAAAGCGACGTTGTTTACGCGTGCTTCCTAATCCCTATACGTAACGTAAGCGTATGAATAATACTAACAACGTATATTATTCTATAGAATCGAAGGGGCAGATATCTTTTAATAAACAGGCAATGGCGTTTTGACTAGTCAATGTACGTCACTTTTAAATTAAACGAATTTATAAATAAATAATGTCGTCGCCAAATATTATTCAATTACTATACGCTTTTAGGTATGTCACTGACTCACTATATGGATAAACTTTTGTACTCGCTACTCAATCTTATCACTACAGAAGCTTTTATATCTTTAAGTAATAAGAATTATCCGTTTTCAATAATTATAACAATAAATTCGTCGATCAACGATAGAAAGAAATAATTTACCGGTAAATTTGTTTATTTATTCCGTGGATAAGAACAATTCCGTTGAATATAAGAATAACAGTATTAACCTACTATATTCAACGTCGAACATTCAACATAACATGAGAGCTAGATGATGGGACAAAGGTCGCTTATATATCTTTTCAAACACCAATTTTCCTCTTGAAGAAATATATCGTTTTCACTAACCACAATTGCGTGACACCTTAACTGTAACAAAAGCAAGCATACATTTCCTAAGCTTTTCGATGCACTAATAGTCCATAATCTCAGTACTGTTATCCATTTCTTTGACATCAATGTCTGTTTTAAACTTCTCTGCGACTTCTCTGACAAGTTGGTCATCATACACAATATTTCTTTAAGAATAACCAAAACCTTTTCAACGCGCATTGAATCTGAGAGATGAAGCTTCTTGATTATTCGTTCAATTCATCAATCGTTGTACCGTCTGTAATGTCAATCTCCATGAACGAGTACAGTATTAGCAACTATATTGCAACAAGATAGCTGGACAATTAACAACAAAGATTCAATTACAAGAGAAATTAATAATATAATTGGTCAATAGAACATCGATCATGTGCGTGCATTTAGGATTACAGTTTATACGTGCAGAATATAGGGTGTGCATTTATCACCAAGTTCCAAGCTCGGGGACCGGCAGGGTGAGCGTGCATTTAGAGAAGTTTGTTTGTACTTTTGTAACACCCCCAATTTATGCATGATCAGCAAAAAACGCGTGTCAGGTCGCGCGCTTTGAATTAATGGATTCTTTAATACTTGACTCATCCAACAGCACGTCTATCGACGAAACAACTTTACAATCGACGTCCATTCGTGATAATGCCCATTCAGTACCTGAAGATGATCTTGAGTTCGAAACATACATGCTATTACGAGGTCTCAAATTTTATTTCCAGTCTCTGGTCTCTTAACCTTAGATGTATTCGTATTCATCTAATTATCTTATTTCCCTCTGCATTCACATAGCTACTGCCGAAGAAATAATCCCATTAGCGTCTCCAAATAAGGTGTCTTATATCGAAAACAGGAAAAACATCCACGCAACGTATTTCCAAGAAAACGAGTGAGTCTTGTTGACCAATATATTGTCTATTCATGCTCCATCACATTATCTACTCACTATTGACTTGCAGGAATATTCGAAATCTCAATAAACTCAATCGAGTCAAAGTATTTACATCAGAGCAATTACGTTCGTTGAAATGTCAGGCTCGTAAAGAAGAACAAAAGAGAGCCATTGTCGACACGAAAGAGGATAGTGATGATGATCTTATTGTTGACTACAGCGAACCACCAAAGATATCGACTACGCTGTTAGCACATAAACCCTTTTCAAAAAAGACTGTATATTCCGACAAGGAATTCTGGGAAGAGTTGCGACAGAGATCTGCGTTAAAAACCATACAAGAGGTACAAGAACGACAGATGAGGAAACTGGCTTCAGCTTCACTTAGGGAGACAATTGAGAAGGAAATGAGAACGGCATCAGCAAATGATTTAAATCAGACGAACAATGACGGGATTATCTCGGACTCGGACGAGGATTATGTTGAAACAATTTACAGTGGTAGTGAACTTGATTCTATGTCCGATGATACAGGGAACGAGGGTGAAAGTGAGGGCGAAAACGAAGACGAAAGCGGAAGCGGAAGCGACAGTGGAGACGATGACGGCGATGACGCAGCCGAGCATGATCGCTCGATTACTGAACAAGATTCCGATAACGGCCTCGGATCTTTGATAAATTCACCCAAGATGGATACTGTTCATAAACAATCTCAACCTCATTCCGAATACGTGGATATTGAAGCCGTTGTGAGTGAAGACGAATTCTTTGATGCTGGTGGCTCAGACAAGGAATATTCTGGTGATGATGAGAACATGAATGAGTTTATAGTAAGAACAAAAAGTCGAGGTAATGCATCGAAAGCGAGGGCATACTGGGGGCAAATCGAGCTGGAAGAAGACGTTCAACAAATCAATAAATTGCATATGGATATCAAATCTGGCGCGTTAAAGAAACGGCGAAGGGATGAAGATAATCTTGGTGACTTATTTAGCAGCGATGATGACAGTGTATATGGGCGACGCGGTGAGTGTTTGCATGGCCTGTCATATTATGTGTTACGAGTGTTACTGATAATTACTATATTATAGATCGTCGTAGGCACCGTTATTCAGACTCTGATAGCGAGGAGAGCTATCATGTCCTATCTGCTTCGGAAGATGATCAAAGTGCGTCACATACAAACAGGGTTACTATGGATCTCGACCTTGACCTTGATTACGAACATTCGGATGTCGAAGTAGAAGCAAGTAAATCGTTCTCACAATCAGCTAATATTATGACTTGTGACGAAATTCTTGACTTGGTCAATGAGTCTTACGTCGAGCATTGCGAAGTTGATGTATTATGAAGGACCAAAATTGAGCATTAAATATTATAGAATTATTATTTACACGAACGATACAAGGATACTTTGTTACTGGGTAATGTGGTTACGCATATCACGGCCAAATATCATTCTGTTGTGTCAGACGGGACTGGATGGTTGAAATGGTCTAAACATGCGAATTTTGAGTGCGCGATTGGCTCGACCTCATAAGAAATAACATCCCGCATAACATATTAATGTTTGCGTGACGCAATTTTTATTACCAAAATGGAACAGACTTGGAAGCGAGAGTAACTGCATCGTGCGGTAATGCTGGCATTTGTATTTTTAATATTAACCGCCTATTAACGGTACGATTCAAATAATACAACGCTTGTAGATTCCGTAAGGCTACATTAAAAGCTCACAGAAAAAGCACGAGCAATACTGCAATATGTCATAAAAAAGTTGTTTTTTTCTAGCGTGTTTGGACGGTTTCATGTTTTATGATTACGTGTTTCTGCAGAAGTATATTAAAACCGAACGTTTGCTACTCTAAAGTTTAACTAAAACTTTGCAAATTTCATAATTCTCACAAGCGTATAATTTGCCGTTTGGTATTATATAACAAATTCCTGCAAAAAACCTGTCACAATTTTAGAATGTAATCAGATTCTACATTTTTTGTTAGTTGAAACTCTAAAACCGGAAACCCCCTAAATTAGATATTTCTTCGGTAAGCATATAAAGACCTACCTCAACCATCAGATATGTTTTCTGAAATAGAAGAAGTAATTCCTTTGGTTTTACAATAAAATTACAATTGCGGAAATTTTTTGCCCAGTCAGGAAAAAACATAGAGTTCAAACACGACAAAATACTTCGACCGGTTCGGAGAAACACTTTTGACGAATTATTGAAAATGGTGATTCCTAAGCGAGCACAGCTCTGACAAAAATGACATTAGAAATCGCTCCTTAACAGTTAGCGTTGTTAAAAAAACGCGTTTACAAACGAGCTCATTAAAACAGCGTTATTTGTATTTATTTAATAACAAAGAAACGACTCAGAGTCTTACATTGATTGGTATCTTGAGCGTGATGGATTTTTTAAGAAGGATGGGCTCTGATTTATGCATGAGCCGCAGTGACATTTTTAGAGCAAAGACTATTTTGGTTGCCAAGTTAAAAAATTTTAAAGCATTGGTGGTTAGTGAGAAAGTTGATTGGGTAATTGGATAAACTAGTTGTCGAAGAACTGGGGGGGGGGGGGGGTTTCTGTATCAATTTTTGGTAATCTTTTGAAAGAAGGTAATTACTAATTATGTAATGCCGCGATGGAGCGAAACGAATTAGCATACCATGTAACCATATTTGTGGTAATGGAATATATATTAATATGTATTTACTATTACCACACTATTTATAATCTTCACTGGGTATTTTTCAACACTATCGATTTGATAAACTGTTAGAGGTATTGAAGTAGCCAACTGTCAATTAATTATCGCCGTCAGTGAAGGATCGACTTTTTAAAATTCATTTTGTCATCAATGCTTTAATGCGACACATTCTTGGTAAAAATTGCACCAGTTATTGAATCGCAACATTAGAACGCCATTATATCATCACGTATCAAGGTAAAAATAACCGTATTAACGAGACCTCAAATATAATCAATAAATGCTTTCCTCACGTTTAGCCTGAATGTGATGAGATATCAGACAACCCATGGATTGGTCATCTGTCCGACAAGCCGCTACTGGTTACATTACGGTAGACTAGATAATAATAAATTTTAATCCATCAGGCCGATCTCGGGTGATCCCGGAGATCTCGTCTTTTCATCGGACTGACTAGTTCAATTGTCTCCCTGGCAAGAACTCTGAACAACCCCATAAAGCCACAATTTGTGGTTGCCCCATTACATAGTCAGATGTTCGGCTGTACGATGTTCTGCACGAGATTGTGATTTGATCGTGATCTCGTGCCTGTGAATTTTTCTTTATTAATGATACCGAAATGTTGCACAACCGAATAAACTGTCGATTTTGACCAAGAAATTAAAAATGGAGTATCAGAAATCGTGTTGTACTACATTTTGGGTAACAGTAATATACGCCAAAAGTCCCGCGCGAATGACCAGAGCAAACATAAAGTTTGAGTTCTTGTTAGCAGCAACCATAAATACGTGTGCACGAATTAGGATGTCTTTTAAATAATGCATGCCAACTTCTTGAGAAATATAACTGGGAAAAAAGTTTTTGGGATGATTATTGCCAAGGCGTCTTACAACTTGTTTATTTGTACTACAGAGTCCATGCCTCTTACTAACGCTAATGGTCAATCAACTCCAGCTTTGGTGACATCAATAATCCCATCTTTGGGATTTTGACGGTTATTTAATGGTAAACACTGCGTTTTCTATTGCCACATACAGTTTTTCAGTCATGTGGACATTTATTTGTTTGTCAAAGTGCCTTATCAATAACGCACTGTTGGGGCAGATGGGAGTGAGATCAAAGTGGTCTGAAGTGAGATTAAAAGTGTCGTTGATGGCTACATAGGTAGGTAAAATATATTCATGTACCATTTCTTTTCATACCACGGTAGAAAAATGGGAGCCTTGTTCTGTTTGCCCATGTCCGAGTCTATCTGCAGCGTCATTCCATTGTCCAAGGATCGCAAGCATCGTAAAGCCGTATTTTCATCCATGACTATTACTATGAGATGACTTCACGTCATTTTGCTGCACTAGTTGTTGATATTACTGTCAGCGATTTTCTGTGACGCCATAAATTTCAGGGGGGCGTTACTCTTATACTGCAGCCATACCCCGTACTGTTATACTATGTTAGACTTCATTTATCACAAATAATGTAGCGTCACATACAGTTGAATTCTTCCTTCTTCCTCATGAGTAACACAATTGACACCTGCATTACAACGGATTTCACAATCATCTAATCTTATAGACCACCGAACACACTCATCGATGGAATGTATGACATTATAAATATGCAGCGACCACCAGACAGTAAGGCGACCATCACTAAAGAACGCAGTCCTGTAGTTGAATACGAGGAACCATTAGGAAAGCTAGCTACTGACATTGTTATTTTACAACAACTATTGATCAGTATATACACGCTGATCTTTTTTTTGGCGATAGACAGAAAGTACTTGCTTGCACCCCTTTCTACTTACAATCAGTCATTATTCAGAATGTATGACAATCCGGATGTCCTCATACATGTAGGAGAGGGTGATAACGCCAAAGATTTCTATGCCCACAAAAACATTCTAACCAAAAGATCATTATACTTCAATGCTGCATTATCAAACACCTGGGCCAGAGTAGAAGGAGATAAGATGGTACTAAGGAAACCTAATGTGTCTCCCAGAGTCTTTGAGATGTTATTAAGGTCAGTAGATGAGCTATGAGAAGAAACAAGAAGCTTAGATTCATTAAGAAGTACACGGTTCAACACTCGTCTTTTCGATCCCTCCCAATTGTAAGCTAATCGCACATTCTTAACCAAATCATTAGCTATTTCTATACAGTAACGATCTCCTTTGACGTATATAATATATCAGATATACTCGCCCTTCTTATTATAGCTGACGAGCTTTTGATCCCCGATCTTCTTCATTTTCTTCAGTCCTATCTAATTACCAACTCATCCTCTTGGATAGACTCAAATATTGGTATAGTACTCCACACAGTTCTCAAACACGAGAACGTACAACTGCTACACGAGTACTGTATCAAAAAGGTGGCGTGGCATCCGCATTTAATATTTGACAAAGATGAATATTTGGACTATGAAGAATATGTGATGTTGAGCATATTAGAGTCGAGCGAGTTGCAGATGGAAGAGAAAGATATATGGCATCACGTGATTAGATGGGGAATAGCCAACACGACGGGACTGGTCCCGGATCAATCAAAGTGGACAACAGAGGACTACCATTTACTTGGTAATACCATCAATAATTGCATAAACAATATCCGATTCTCGGACTTTACAATCGGCACGTTTTACACTCATGTCTGGCCATATAAACACTGCCTTTCATCTTCCATTCGACAACTCATCATCGAATATCAGAACAATGTTCTCCCTTTTCCCATCCTACCTAACATCCTCACGGCCCGTTGTTCGATAGTTACAATAGAGTCTAACATAGTTACGAGCGAGCAAGCGGCACGGATTCCCGATTGGATCGAGCAGACGGAATTGATGGGCCAGGCATCGCCATCGCCAGTAAGAACAAGGAAAAAACACGAGTTTCATCTGCTATTGCGAGGAAGCAGAGACGGGTTCACCCCGGCCGTATTTCATGAGCTATGTGATGGTCAAGGTCCGACAGTTGTTATTCTTCGAATAAAAGGATCTAAACAGGTAATTGGGGGATACAATCCCATAGGATGGCGAGGGCTGTTAAAAAATCGCTGGGTATATACAAAGGATAGTTTTCTATTCTCGTTGGGAAATCGCAATAAAGCGTCCGATGCCAAACTGAGCAGAGTTTTTCCTAGCAATGAGGCAATATATGATGACCCTGAGTTTGGTCCTTGTTTCGGAAAGACTGATTTGGATATGCGAATCAAGTTTGACGAAGAGAACTGTTCTGCCGTACGTAGGAGTTATAGTGAGAATATTGTTGATACAGACGAAAAGTTTGCAGTCGATGAGTATGAGGTGTTTCGGATAGTGTCTACGACTGTGTGCTATGGCAACATGTGGAAATGTAGTATAATGTGAGACGAGAAAAAAATAAATCTGATTATAGAATAAGAAGAGACAGTTTCGTGACAAGTAATTGGGGGGGGGGGGGTAGTAAGGTGATGATTAATGAGTAGGAGCAACATCATAGTATTGCTTGTAGTGTCTGTTTGAGAATATCTAGATTGTGCTGACCGTATTTATTTCGGTGATATAAAACGGATAGTATATGTACTATATTACGGTATGTAACAAATTGATTTAATAATATCCTCGTGTACATGCATAATCCTTTACAAAATGAATATTTAACAAAATACATGGTGATGAAATGGAATTTACTTTTAATCTGCAATACGCAATATTCTCAGATGACTTGAAAAACAAACTCTTTGCTTGTTATCATCTATCCTTGCAACCTCTCGAGTCATGTTGCATTTTCGCAGTTTAGTTTTTTACCTGCCACCCTTCCCCACGTTTAATTCAACGGTTCTTCATTTCTCCCTCTTGTATAACTTATTTCCAATTTTGATTAATCTTCCCAAACGACTTGAAAAACTTCATACTCGTCAACGCTAAAGAACCCATCATCGTCTCGAATCGCTTTGTCATAACTACTCCGCACACAATAGCACCGATTATCGTAGCGAAAGTTTTCTTGTAGACTTAGATCTGAATAACCAAAGTGTGGACCCATTAAACTATTGCAGACAATCGCGTTATTTGGAACCACTGGATAAGATATGATAGGCAATGAAATAATTGTAGTGTTTAGAGATGGAGGCGGAGACGGAGATGATGATGTTGGGGTTGGAGGCAGCTGAGGATGAAATAGCGGGGAAGGCGGTAAATTATGCGATGGTGGGATGGAATATTCATATATGGGATGAAGTCTGTCGACAGTCGCGTCATCACCGAAAGTTCGTTTCTTTTCACCTCTTGCTCCATAATTCTCAGTTTCACTTCTCTCCCTCCCTTCCTTATTCCCATCCACTTCCTCTTCCGTCTCGTATGCTTCACCGTTCCAATCATTGAAATTAAAAATAAACGCCTTATCGCTAGAATGAAAACACCCGACCCTGTAATCTGCTTTGCGCCAAGATAGTGGATTATACCCTCCTATCACCTCGTTCGTGCCTCTCACCCTTACTACCGTTATTGTTGGTCCTTTATTATCACATCGTTGGTGAAATACAGATGGCGTGAATCCGTCCCGCGAACCACGAACCAAAAGACGAAAATGGACCCGGGAGCCTTTTGGAGAAGCTGGCCGGATCGATGGAAAGACAGTGGAGGTAGGAGAGGGGGATGGGAAGGAACTGGGACCATTACGAAATGAGAGTTTCTTCATGACGGATTTCTTGTATGAAACCGTGGTAAGAGGGGGTGGGGGAGGAGGAGGGGGTGTTCCTATACTGTTAATATCACCAATACCATCGGTGACGCCGAGGTTGTGTATTTCATCATCGTTTGCATCATTCCCCTCCTTGCATTGCCAATCACTTCTCATTCCCTCCCTGACGACTTCCACATGTTTTGGCCTCTGACTCCTTCGTCCACTAAGAATTCTCTCAGCTACCCAATCCGCCTGCTTCTGCGACATTGTCGTCGAATCGATCTTAAGTTTGATGATTTCTCGAGATACATGTTGTGGAAGTATGAATAAAAATGGATGCACTTTCTTAAATTCTGCGGGAGGAATCGCTTGAAAGTTTACAAATTCAACAAACTTGTCAAGAGTTCGTTTGAGACACTTGAAATGATATGGGGACCACTGAGATGTATCATAAATTGATTTTGATATTACAAGATATTGTATTTCTGGCGTATTCGCAATAGAGAATTTGAGAACAGAATCCCATAACTCTGTCTGTCTGGTATTCGCTATACCCCGCTGTAATATGTCGAGTAGTACGTTTTCCTCTAACGTTGTGAATTTTTCTGATTTGAACAATAGTTCTGGTCTAGTTCGCAAGAGCTCGTCCGCATACTGAGACAGAATCTCAAATTCGGGATGTAAATGTACACAAGAAAGAACAGATACAAAGTTTGATTTTGACCATTGTTGATAGTTAGTTGTTAGCAGAGTTTGGAAGGGATCTATTAATTCGTCTATCGACAAGCATTTAGCTGCAACGAGGAGAGGAAGGACAATGTTTTGGGAAAGCGGTTTTATAATAGTGCCTGTATATAAATATCTGAGTAAAAAGTAAGGGGGAGACTATGAGAACTCTTTTTCGACAAATTATTTAAATTGTCACCTTTCTAATAGTTTTCGACAATATTGTCAGAGATCTCCATACTTTCACTTGTCCATCGCATTATTGATCCCTATTGTTGTTCCTCTGAATTAATCTCTCTTTTTTCACCTACTCAGTTCTCATACCTTTTCTTTCTACGGAGATACTCACCCAACCAAAAGCTCAACAATTTCTTTCTCCATTCCAATCTCAACAACCGTGCACAAGTCCTCGGAAAGTAAGTATTCCTCTGTGAGAGCTTCTTTGAAGAAACTCGATCGTGTTTTTAGTATCAACGAATGACCCCATATTCGTACTTGTTCTTTACCACATTTTATCATTACGTCTGCGTCTTCTGGGTTGTTGACTAGAGTCGATAAATCAGCCGAGAGCATTGTATGAAGTTTCATCGATAAGGATTGGGAGAAGAGTGAGCTAGGCAATGAATACGGAAATGACGTTTCGTCCGGTGACAAAGTAACAACAGGTATTGAAGTATTCATTTTTTCACAGTCTTAATTACGATGCACGTCTCGGACGCTCTGTTTTGGGAAGAATGTCGCAAAAGAAGATATGGTCGAGGAATAAGTTTGGGAGAAAGGGAGTAAAAAGAGACGGTCACAATAATTGCGTCTAGGCGGCTTTATTAGTTTGTTTATGTACATGGTTGACATTTATGAATTCATTTGCAACCTATCGTAACCTCACTAATGCGCAATTTTTTTGTCACCAGCAGATCAGCAGGTAATGATGATTTTTTATTGTTTCGACAAATTTATTCAGATATTTGAAGATCATATGCACGCATTGTCAACATTCTAACTCTAAATCCGTTATCATTCGGTCTAAGACATTATTGATATTAATATCAAAAAGGACACAAATGCTTATTACACTCGTCTTTTCTACGAATGCATCAAAAAGGACACAAAAAACTCGTCTTTTTATGATTGATCTACGGATGCGGTTTTATTATATTACAACGGAAGGAAATAAATATTGACCCAAGGGCCGGTGTATATATTGATGTATGTGTATATATTACGGACAAACAGTTAACAATCCATGCCGAAAACAATATCTGAAAGAAGAAAAAGACAACGCTATCTTTTCCCTCCCGCCAATTCCGATGGACTAATTCTTGTTTATTCAAGCCTAACTAGTCTTGAGACAGGTTGATCCAAGAGTCTTTGCGGGAAAATTGACAAGTGGAATATTTGTTGAACCAACAAAGAAACCCAAATTTCCAGTAAGGGTAGTGGCCAAATTTACGTCGGTAGCATTCGCACAATTATTTTCAGATCCCACTGTTGCATCAGTACTCAACGTAGTAACGACCTGTAATCCTGTCTTGGCTTCTAAAAGTCCATCCATTACATTGACGCTCAAGGCCAGCTGAGGCTTAAGTGATCCAGCTACGCCTGCCGAGACCGTTAATCCGACGGTAGGGGGGGACGTATTCATCGTAATAACTGGATCAAACCCGGCATGTGTGAAAGAGGATGCAGCATCGTCGAGTAGTGAGGCAGAAGCGCTAAAGTTTGGATATGAGATCAAACCACCCGTGGTAAGCGAAACTGTGGCTGATCCGTGAAGGTTTGCAGATGCGGCTAATATGATGCTTGGTCCGATATTGAATAAATTAGGTACTCCCAACGGCGTCAGTGGAACCTCGAGTAGCTGTACGTCAGGAGTTGAAAGAGTTCCAGAAAGTGTTGTATCGAATTTTAGATCCATGTTTATATCCAAATTCCCATTAATCGAAAGTGTAGCGTTGGTAATCTTGGGTGGTAGGGATTGGCCCTCGATATGAAGTGAAACTGTTGCGTTGCCTCTAAGAAAACAGTTTGCGCAGCTGATGGATTCTGATACGGTACTTCCGACAGTCAAAAGAGGAATGTTGGGCTTGGATGAAGCATCAGTGTTGGGGTCGAATAGGGCAGAAAGATCGATTTCCTGGTCTTTGTCCACATCGAACCTTCGTGATACGGAACGACGAGGTGTGGACCGCTTTTTTTTGTGTTCCCAGTTGAGATCAATTACAAAATTATTCGACCACTTTAGCACTTGACAGGGAGAAGTGGTAAATTTGACACTATTCTCTGTCGCATTCACAGTCTTATTTCCAACCAAGTAAAATTGCGCTCCTTCTTTACCGAAACAGTTCCACTTGTCGTTGATCATTACCATAACCTTGTCGGGCCACGATTCTATTGTCTGTCTTGATGCCTCGTCGTCTACAACCAACGTGATGGTATCATCGTCGGCATTGCACTTGATATCGATAATGCCCTCGGTTTGGTCAGGATTGAATGATGGGATAGTCGTTTGAAAAAAGACGTTAGCATAGTGACTGGAACTAGATCCTTGAGAGAAAGTACCACGGAGGGAGTTGGAAGTTGTGAATTGACGTTGAGCATTCGGAATGAACGGAGCTAAAGGTCTGAATGCAATTGTTTGGGGCAGAGCGGTTAAGAGGGAGATGATGGAGATGAGGAGGATGAGGGAGAATGAATTAAAGGAGTCAGAAGGCATGTTGCTCTTCTTGTGAGTGAATCGAGTAATGTTGACGGAGTTGGGTATAACGTTGTCAGTAATATATACTTGTTCTTTCAACGTCCCAGACGTCGAAATTATAATAAAAGAAGGTTATGAAGCCTTAAGGCTTATATGTTTTTCTCGGAAATGTGATTTGGATGGATTTTTTGCACCGCTAAGTAAGCTGGTTAAATGTAAAACTCTTCCATTTCATGGCTATTTTATATGTTTTAGCATTCATTACCGTTTAGGGAATGCCTCGCTTATTGATACAATAGGGATTCTAAACATAGCAATTTGGGCTCGGCCATTCGCCTGCAAGGGACAACAAATTCATTGAATGTGATTGGCTTGGCAGTACGTAATTAAATGAACCTAGTCGGCCTGAAACAGATTAATAATGCCCAAAGATTTAAGGTTAAGGCGCATTGTTTTGACGCTTCGCCCTTTATTAGTGAACTTCTGAATGCTTGTGTATACTATTCCACCTTCTATGCAACATAAGAAGCACAGAGTTATAACAAAGCTCTTGCGGACATCAACGATTGTCCGCATGCAACAATTGCCGATTATCTCCTTTTTTCCTTTCAATAGGAACATTCATTACCGAAACATCAATGTTACATCAATTTGTCGATCTAATCCTTTTCAGAGTAGTACGACAGGGACCTATCGCATTCACACGGAAAACAGCAAGATTTTCTATGGATTTAAGGTTAATTAATATTAATATTAAAGATCAATTAATAATCTGTGCCGCCTTTTTACGCATTCATAGTTCCAACAACTTTGTTGAGACATTATCATTGTCTAGTATCTAGGGGACGGGACTTGTTGCAAGGTAGTAGCACCGTGATTGTCCAAAGAAGCTTGTCGTTGGGTTTCAAAATCAAAACGGGTTTCGAGCACGTAAGAATGAACAAGTAAATTATCTAATTGTGCCACGGTCACCTAACTATTAATAGAAAAAACTGCTATTTATAGCATAATGTCATAAGCTCGAATGCGTATACGATGTAAACTTTAACTTGATAAAGAAGACAAATTATATATCGCAAACCGGATAACTTAGTTTGCGCTGAGATTTTTTTCTATTTAACCTGAAACCTATATTAAGTCAACAGTCAATTTGCGCGGATTAAAGGTTAATTTTATTTATCAATTAACGTGTTAATTAAAAAAAACTTTATCATGTAATAGTACAGCTTCTTTGTTCGGCGATACCCAGTTCGTATTCTATTTTTCGAGCATTAAAATATAAAATATCTGCAATAGATATATAATTTTTTTTTGGAAGGTTTCCCTATTGAGACAAGTTCCTTTTTGAAGATAATTGCAAAGCACGCCTAATTTTGCTTATCTTCAGTTACTAGTCGGATAGTTTATATAATAAATACGACAACCATTAGAAATAAAATAATTTTCGGAAATTAATAATATGGTTTCAGCCCAGCAGTCTTTGTTTCGTAATGTCTATTTTTTTTTTTTTTAATTAGTAAATACTTTAGAGAACACAAAATAGATTATATATTATTAGCAATATTTAACGAGTACCTACAAAAGGCGACACGCGGAATTACACCAAATTCTGTAACAAAGAATCCAACGGAAGAAAATTCGAAAATAAAAAATTAGAAAGTTTTTTATTTGCCATAGTTGACAATTAATGACGACAGATCCAATCATCACTTTAATTTTGGGCTTAATACTTATTGATGCAAAAAAACTTACAGCTTATTTGTCGTCCACAAGCAATGCAATACCGTATGTGTTAAAAAAAAATTTTTTTCTTTACTTCTAAAAGCAATGGAAAAAAATTCAGAATTGATTAAAGCGGCTACACAAAATTTAATTTCAACGTCCACATGGCACGTCAAAGTTTCTTAGAATACGTTAGCTCATCCTTACGGCAATGAGCGATGCATTAGCGTATCTTCACACCTAGATATCAAACATACTGGTCGGTGCTTTGCTGCTGTAATACCGAACGGTTCTTTGTATCTGTGATTTTCACATTCTGCAATTTGTGCAGATCATATTGGTGCTACACGATCAGATAGATCTGCAATGCGATATGTCATGAAAAAGATTTTTGTCACAGACTTTTTCACGATCTGTTGCAAACAGTGCATTTGTGCATCTAAGATGCAAAAATGATAAACCTATACTATCAATTATTATTATCATCCCACAGTTTTGTAATACTTTGCATTATTCTATGTGTTAACTTTGTACAGTCAAAGCTGGCTATAACGAACTTTGTTTATAGCGAAAAATCTGTTTATAACGAAGATTTCTCCAAGCCAGTTATAATCTTAGCTATAAAAATGACCTTTGTTATAAGGAATTTCTGTTTATAAAGAATATTTTCTCTGGTCCCGTAGAATTCGGTGGCACATTGAGTCGACAAAGAATCGATCAAGCGTGAAAAGCACACAACTGATACTGAACAAATAATTATTGGCAACCATGTGACATTAAAGTTGAACGATATGTCCGCATTTGCCTTGAAAGAATAATAAATTAACCAATATAATTCTCGAGCACTTATTTAATCATGGTTTGATAAATTTGCGCATACAAGTTTATACACTTGTCCAAATAAGTACTTGTAAAGAGATTATAATAACGTGTATCGCTAACTAACAGAAATGTTTCTCAATCTGTAAATTAAAACCTAGCGCCAGACTCTTGCACTATATTGATTATTTAAACTTCAGCAACTTTCAAGTAGTGCATGAGCAGATAAGTTTAATTTGTATTATAACGAGCACGTATTTTGGGTAAGTTTTCTAATAGCAGATAAACTAGTAGACGGGGCTGGTATACATATTTCAGCTTTGCGCAACAACGCAATATCTCAGATTTTACACATTTATTTAAAAAAAAATTAAAACTAATAGACGTCTTATTATTGACGTGGAAGTTGAATGTACCATAATAACGAATATTATGCAATTTTTCTTTATACAAAAAAAAAACCATCTACGACATGAATTTATTCTATTTTCTGTTACTTCAGAATTTTTATTTATCTGCATATGTTGCTTTCTTTGTAAATGCCGAAATACCAATAGAAGACAAAGAAAATCAATTTTTACTTGATGAAACAGAATCGTATTAACATCTTTGCAAATACTCTTGCGAGTACACATTAATCTGATTATAACAAGTTCGACAATTTTATCCTTATAACCAAAGTTTTGTTATAACCAAGATTATACTGTGATTGTTTCAATATTGCGCATCACAATAGGGCAAACACTATATGTGTTTCTAACATCAGAAATCCAACCAGACAATAAAATTTATGTTACAGTAATCTTTACTTTAGGAAATATTTTTGAAATTAGAGTACTGCTCTAACGCGGTTACCACTTTTCGAGCCGTTACATTACTAAGAACGTTATTTTAATACATTTAGTTGACGAATCTATTCGAATAAGACTGATATAATATCTTTTAGTCAATATACACTCCCCTGAAATAAGTATCGGACCCCCTTTCAATTTAAATTGCTCAATAATCCATATAATAATTGACCTCGATTTTTTTTACAGTTTATAAAGTAGCTTTACAGGTAACTATTACAAACTTAATATTCGTTGGCCATCCATTATTAGTAATACATGCTCCAACTCGTCGTGGCATGCTTTTCACTAAACCTATATAAACATGTTCAGGAATTTGAGTCCACTCGTTCTGTAAGGCAATTTCTAACTCTAATATTTTTTGGATGTTTCGAACGATTTCGAATACGACGTTCCAATTCTGACCACAAATGCTCAATTGGATTCAAGTCTGGCGATTGACTTGGCCAATCAGGCAATGTTTTGATCTTCTTCGTCGTAATCCACTCACCAACATCCTGGCCGTGTGAACGGGTGCATTGTTTTGTTGAAACATGTAACCTTTTTCATTAAATTTGGTACTAATGTAAGGCAACAAATGTTTCTCAAGTATTTTTATGTAGGATATTCTATCCATTTTGCCTTCTATTTTAACAAGTGAACCCAATCCCTTACCTGAAAAGCAACCCCATACCATTAACCCACCACTCCCATGTTTTACTGAAGGAATAAGGTTTTCAATATTAAAGCGTGTTCCAGGAGTTCTCCAAATACGCCCTGGTCTATCTGTTTTAAATATAGTAAACCGACTTTCATCGCTCCAAATAACGTTTGCCTATTTTCTGATTGACCATTCTTTTCTCTCAAGGCACCAATTGATATTGAGTCGATTTTCTCTTTGTTGTGATGAGAGAAGAGGTTTTGCTACTGGAATGCAAAAGTAAAATCCAATCTTATGCAAATACTTTATAAACGTGCGGTCAGAAACTTGAATGCCAGTTTTTTCTCTAAAATTTTCATTAAGCAAGGGAACTGACGTTCTTTTGCATTTTTTCATAATTTGTTTTACCTCGTGTTCGGCTTTGGTGTCTATAGATCGAGGACGACCACTTCTCGGCGTAGTTTTTGTGTTTTTTCCATCACGATAATTTTGAATTGTCCGCGTAATTGCTCGTTTTAACAAAGCCTAGAGTCTTATTAATATTGTTTCTCGAAAAACCAGCCTTGTGAAAACCAATAATCTGACAGCGTTCACTTTCAGTCAATTCTGAATTTTAGACATTTCGTTATTGAAATTGAATCAGGCATTTGTAATTTAGACAAGTCCACCTTTTCTTTTGTAAACAATCAACTATCAACGTAAATAACGCGTAACGTGCTATATATATTTACGAAATACTAGGCTATAACACGTAAAAATTTGGAAACAAATTATTATGTACGCTGTCATACAAATTAAAAGTAAAGGGGGTCCGATACTTATTTCAAGGGAGTGTATTTCCGAAACTTTTCGTCATTTTCAAGAACGTTGCTAACAATTACTGGTCTTTTCTTTTTTCCCATTGACATCAATAAGAAAATTCGTTTGGTTGTAATACTGGCAATGCTGAATTTGGCCTATGATAAAAATTTTTGTTACTATCAATTAGCAGCTTTTTTGATAATATTCATTATAAGTCTTATAACGGATTGGCCGCCGGTGACTTTGATATCAATGCTTTCTCAATTCATGCAACAGTTATTTGGAGCTTGGAGCCAAAGATCTACCTCAGTATTCCAAGCATAGTCGGACATAACTAAAGAAATTTTAAAGGAAACGGAAAGTGGAAAATTATATTAATTATACCAAAATATTTAACATGCTCTCCATGTGCCTTGGAGCGTTGTGAAAAAGATAAAATTCGGTTTGAACTTGTTGATCTGTCACTTCCTGAACTGCATTCTACAATTGAATACGCTTTCATGGTGCAATCAAAAGTCTGTTATGAAATGCATGGCTCACGTTTTCAGATGTGAGCGAAGTTACTGGTAACGACGATGAAGTGAAAATAGCTTCGGAGCCCAAGTATGCTGGATCCGATGTTAACTTCCGTACTGGAGTTCGGTTTAATGAGTCCTCCTTGTGGCTACGAACGTTTGGTCTGATCAGCGACATTCCATCAAGAACGAAGACTTTGATTAAGGCCTGAAATTGACAAATTGATTCAAGAAGGAGTTGTAACTTCACGTTTTAAATTTTCAGATCAAAATCGAGGCCATGGTACGATACTGGAAGGAATTAAAAAAAAACCACTCAGATTATTGATTCAACGTCTATATACTTTTGCAATGGCATTAGGAGATTGCAGCACGTAATTTTTGAAGATGCGTATAACCTCTTACCTAATAGGGTATGCTGAAAACGTAACATACGACTCTCGCACACGTCGATTTCGAATCCGAATGCTGATTGAATTTATCGGGTTTTCTTGGAATACTTAGCGAAGAATCAAACGATTTGGTGTATCACACATGCAAAAGATTAGACGTCATTGAAACAAAGCTAACTAAGGATGTTTTGTCAACCAATCTCAATATTATCAAAGGGCTGAGGTTTAATAACAAAGTTGCTCATTTCATCTATTATCAACTCTTACCGTATCGGCGAAGACATATTATCTAAAAATAATATAACTCAATTTGATTCAATGATTGAAGTGACATGTGACTTTTAATAGAAATTTTACCGAATAAATTGTTTAAGTCAAATTCATGTATCAATATACGTCGACATTGTAAAGCATATTTGTTTGCTATTAACTTTTAAAGTAGATAATATCAATATTGAGTTCGTTGTATAAAAGCAAACAATCGGTACGTTCAAGAACTGAGTATGAGAAATGGGATTTGACTGTTGACAATAGACCTCTGTTGTCATACCACTTCCATTTTAACTTCTTGACAAGATCAATTAACTCTGTATTTGTTTGATCGAGTAAACAAGGCTGCGCAGTTATTTCGATAAACAATCGAGCGATTGTTTGATGTGAAAAAATTTTTTATATTAGAAGTAGAAAAAAGTATATAGACAAACGAGTTTGTTTCAATCACAGGATTCGAGAAATGAACCAACCATAGAGCGCTTATTTTGGAGGTTACACTTAGTGCAAATGTAAATATAATTTCGGAACTATATGGGTATTGTCCGTTAGTCGGCTTTCCTTGAGATAAATTTCGACTTATACTATATAAAAAGTAGAAGACTTTGGCCTAATATTAATATTAATGCAAGTAACACATAAGTTACGTTGATATAATATTACTGTTATCGATATCATCATAGTAATAATTAAATTATACGCGTGGCTTATCGGTAGTAAATTACCCCATCTCGTGAATATCATAAATTTATCAGTGAAAAAAATTTTCTACTTCCCGCTGATACTATTGTGACGGAACAATTATGAGAGCCGCGATATTGTGTCATGATGTGTTACATTACTATTGAGTAATATATTGATTATGACATACGTTTGTGCTTACTATTTGTTACACTCCTCGTTGCATATGTAACAAACTATTTATACATAAAAGCAATTTTGACACGCGTCTACTCTCATACACACACACACATATATATACCCAGACGCTTTTTTCCATTCGTATGCATTGCTTCACAACTCCTCCAAAGCAAAAATACAACATTATCTATTATACAATAAACAATCCTCTGCACTACTCCATATTACACACATACAACACGGACAAATCATCAAACAACAAACTCTCGAACTTCCCTGACAGAAGGAAATGAACATGACATAGCAGAGAGTATCTTTAAACGATCAGTTTTCCACTTTTTCCATAAACGCGAACGCTATCTGCAACCAGGTCACAGCGAGTTGAACATGGAGGTCACACACCAAACATGTAAATCTTCGTTCGGCTCGAGTCTCGTGCGGCAACGACACGGTTTATCAACACTAGCTAATGAAAAGTTTTACTCATATAGATATACTAAGACCATTGCGTATGTGTCGTTTATTCCTTCTCTGAAGTGCAAATCCCACGCAACGTACAACTCTTCGCCGCCACACCATAGTACGACAACTCCATACTTTGCACATACTACGAGTCGTCTAACGGTTAGGAAGAAAAGCAATCGATGGCTGAATAGATAGCTGTTAGAACTGTGTTGGGGGAGAGTGGAAGTAGTAACATAGACATAAATCAATTCATGTGACTTTTTATTATTAAAATTAACTTCTTATGGGAACTTATATTAGGTTTAATAGAGTAGAGGACTTGGAGTGTAGTCTAGAGCTGGGAGCGGAAGAGCCAAAGAGCAAACTGCCAGTTCAGTTTGAAGAGGGGGGGGAAAGCGATCTGATATCAAGTGATTTCTGAAGTACTGAGATAGAGTAGTTCGGGATGATGGTCATTTCGCAGCTCTACGGCTCAACGCTACTAAAGAGGGGAGGGGAAGCGATCTGATATCAAGTGATTTCTGAAGTACTGAGATAGAGTAGTTCGGGATGATGGTCATTTCGCAGCTCTACCGAAATCCAAGTCCGAAACATTTTTTAAAAAAATTTTTTTATTGACATTAATAAAGTGCGATAGTTGAAAAAGTATAAATGCTTATTAAAGTCTAAAATAAATAAATCTAATATCGGTAAATAACTCAACCGTCCCTATCAATTGACGAACTGACAGTAGATTTACAATGTGTAATGTTCGAATCGATAATTACGCGAGAGCGATTGACTCTGGGAATATCGTTACCCCCCCCAAATGGAGTCTAGTCGCAATTAAATAAATACACAGTTAGTAACCTCTAACTCTAGCTTTTTCTACTCATAACCTCGGCGCCGACGTGTAGACACTGATCTTGATAATTAATTTGTTCTTTATTCTTTACCGACAGGGTTAGATCGGTAGCTTACAGGTGGGATGAGCAATTAATTATCATATTTGCCACGGAAACAATCGCTGAACAAGAGGCGATAATTTGGCAAATTAAAGACAAAATTTTGCGTTATGTTCCACGTTAGTTCTGCATATCGTTCCGTTGTTTTTTTCCCCACTCGAAGACTTTAAGTGTAATTTTTTACAAAAACACCATATTTTCGAAGCCTTTTTTTGCAATGCAAATTTTATTTGTCAACGGTTTAATAGAATGACGCACAAGGAAGACATTCTGTATGCTGCTTTCTTGGTTTCCTTCTCTTCTTGGGTTGAGAAGCCTCTGCAGAAGTTTTACTAAGGTTCTCTGAACAATTTGCTGCATTAGAGAGATTTGTCATTATGGCTTGGAACGCGTGTGTGGCGGGGATGAGAACAAACACGCAAGCTGCAAATTTTTTGTGCCGATCATGTGTATTTAAATCTGCCAATCAGGGGCGGCACAGTTGGAACGGAAGAGCATAAAAATTTATCGTTTTATTTACAATAAAGACATTTTTTTCGTTTACATATTTTTCGAACTTACTAAGCAACGTTTATTATCTCTAACAGCGTCAATTATCAACCTAAGGATTGCATAGCAAATGATTGGCACACATGCACATTAGATTTTGTGCCGTCTTCGAAATTACGCAAAAATTAGGGAAAACGTTAAGTTTCACAGTGAGAAAAGCTTTTAGAATTTTTTTATTTGCTTATTGCTCACAAATTGCTAACTTCTTGAATTGTCATAAGAAAAACTCAAAAAAAAATTATTACTTTTTTAGATTACAATTGTGGCTGAATTATGAATGGGATCGCAAGGACATACTAATGGGACAGACTACAACAAAACCAAACAAAGTGAACATTTGATCATGTGAGCCAAAAGAGGCTGGTGCGGCTGGAAAATAAACTAATTCAGAATGATGGTCTGGAAAGGCTTTGCTATAGTGGCACAGCCCATGGACTAATTTTAATCGCATTAATCACTACAAATTTAACGAACGTGCATCATATAAAAGCAAGATCAGCAGGAATCAATCTACAATAAATCGCGAGTGACAAAGTTTCATCCCAAAATATGGTTCGTTGGATTGTATTTTGACAAATGTCTATATGCAGACAGGTGCTAATTGTGTTTCGTTTTGTAGACATTTCGAGTTTTCCCCGTTCTGCTATTTGTCGGTTGGTAGTTTGCTGATAATGATCAGGTCACATGCGATTTTGACCATTCATGTTTCTTTTTGTACATCAATAACGATAAAAGTGCTGTATACACAGACTCTACGTAATACGAGATAATTCAAACCACAAACATCAAAGGTCTAGCTCTCCTAATACTAAACCACTGTTACTGGGAGATGTTTACAGTAACTCTCCGGAACGAGTTCGATACAAAAAGAAAGCCTGACGATATGCACCTCTCCGAAATGTACTGCAAAATTAGGAGAGGGATCGAAGAACTAGGGAAGGATACTATCGGAGCTTCGACGGTGGAAAGAACTTTAAGATTAATAACGTTGTGGATAGAAAATGAGAGAGGAGAACTTGGTGGGGAGGTTTGCGAAAACAATTAGCTTAGTGAGCCCAAAGAATAGGGTCAGTTATCGCCTTTCAAGGCAGGTCTAGGGGCCGACTGCTTCAAGCTCTCTTTTTACCTATTACGTAAATAAATAAACGATGCGCCACCACGTGACCAAAGCGCGTATTTCACGCAAAATTCTACTCAGAAGACGCAGTTGAAGCTCTTGCAACCAGCGCGAATGACGACGCCAGAATCGAATACTTGAGGGTACTTCTACCTGCAGGCAATGACTTCGTGACTCGGCGTTGATATCCACGTAACCCTTCGTATGCCATTAACACTACCTTACCGCCACCAGACTTGAAGAGGAAAGGGGAAGACATTCCTGTAAGTTATTAACGTATTATGATTTTGAACAAGGGTAATGTAAAGAAATTTTGCAGATTTGATGTTAATGGTCCCTAACTTGGTGACTCTTATACAGAGCGCCTCCACTTTGCAGCCGCCAATGCAGTAAATCCAGCAGCCAACTTTTATATTAAGCCTATTCGTTCAATTGATGGTCTGGGAACGGCTCTTTTCAATGGGAACTTCTTATGGACACCGTCAGAGTGGAAGAACGACCATTGCTTTTGAAGTTGAGGAATGGTTCCGTAAGCAACCCAAATTACCCGGAAACGTCAAAATTTTCCAAGTGTCTCTCGACGGTATTGATCTTGAGAATGAGCTAATGGCTTCTGGATATTCATGATCCAACGGTTTAATTCTGCGGATCCTGAGCGGTTTCCCGATGCTAGTACATCAACGTCAAGCGGCTTTCAAAAGTTATTTAACAAAGAGTTATATCCTGACCCTTCCATTCTGATTATCGATGAAGCTTCAAATTTAAATGCTACTTACAAAATATTATCTTACAATACCAGCAATAACGGTTATAGTGATATTGCTTATATCTGTGTTGAATGCAAAAGGATCTTGATGATGATGCTCTACCACATTGTAATGACTGTGGTCGAACTATGAGAAATAGAATAGATTGTTTCTGTGATTTAAGGAAAGGTGAGCCACCAGTTAAAACTCCAACCATGACAGAAATTGTTACGGTCGGCAATTGTTTGGTTGGGAGAGCCAATTAAATCTTTAGCGTAAGCGTGTTCACCGACCAGGGAATTGGTAATTTTAGACCCAGCAGTTCACTGCCCTTACTCCAGTGATGTCGTTCTGACTGAATGCTTCGTCTACAAGTGACCTATTTTCGTGCGCTTTTCTCACTCCCTATACGATGTACTTCCTGTACTCGTATCCGGATAAGGGTAACCGTATGTAAATTATTAACAACCGAACATAGTTCTAACCCTGCTTTTGGTATGGAGGAAGAAATTTGAGGAGAAATCTATTTAGTTGACTTCAATTGTCGCAAAGGAAAAGAGATCGTCCTGCCGTGGTAATTAGCAATGATATCCAAAACCAATATGACCACTATTTAATAGTGGCTCCCGTTAGTAGTGAGGAAATGGAAATGCATATTCAAATCGAATTTACAGCTTTAATATACCAGAAATAACTAAGCATTATGGATCAGTCATAAAAACTGGTTATGATGGGATAGTAAACCTTATCCAATTTATTTGACTAATACTAATGATTTACTATTACCTGGTCAAATTTTAACTATTCTTAGAGATATTGATAGAGAGAAACTTTTTGAATGTATTGATTCTTCTGATTGTTCTTGAAGTAATTCAGACAAAATCGAGTTGTAGATTGAAAAAATAGCGAATTTAAAAGTGGTGGTAGTAGTAATTCAATGGGTTATTTTGGTAATTCAGGAGGAAGTTTTGAATTTGTTGAAACTCGTTCTACTCACGAAATTGATAAGGCAATTGAATGAAATAAGGAAAATGTCAAAAAAGAGATTAGACATTTTAGTGACGTACTTTATGTCATGCATGCTCTCTTTCCTAAAATTATCAAGACAGTCCTTTCTTAAGAAAAGCCCAAAAGAGTTGTTTACAATTTAAGAATGGCAAGAGTTTAGATAAGCCTTATACTATGTATTGACGAGGAGCTGATGCCAGTATTATTGGAAAGAATATGTTTTAGATGGTGGAAGTGCAATTATTCTTAAAGTTCCTTTTCCGTATTAGTATGAAGATAAACATTTAACTTGAGCGAATGGTCAAATTTCCCTTTTGACAAGTTTATGATAAAGATGATGCAATTACTTGAGGAGTTTATGATGAAGTAATGGGTGAAGATGGTGTTGAAAATAGTGAAAGAATTCGCAAAGAAGAAATTACTGTTTATGAGAAAAAATTAAGTATGAAACATCATCAATGTTTCATTACTTTATACTTAGAAGTAATTATAGGAGTTATGTTAAGAGTTTAGTCAAAAATGGCACGGACGCCGCCGGAAAAACTTTTATTAACAGGTAATGAATATAAATTAGTTGAAAAAGAATTGGACATAGTTGCTAATAAAGTAACGTTAGCTGCTATAAATCTCTTGCAAGTTTCAGAGATAGTGCAAGAGCAGTGAAAATTGGTGAGTTAAAAAAAGAGCAATTGGTTTTGATTCAAATCAGATAAATGGCTTGCTACTAAATATAAAAATAACAAAGTTACTGATTCAATGCTAAGTCAGGTAAGAAAGTTGATGAATTAAGAGATTAGTGCTAAACAAATCAAAGTCAATGACGAAAAACAAGCAGCCAAGAAAGTAAAAGAAGACGCTAAAAAAATAGAGTAAGTGGTTTAATCACTCAATTTAAAACTATTTGAGGTAAACCAGAAACAAATCTTATCGTGAACTATTATTTCTGCGCAATATTTTGGGGTGGATTAAAAAGTGAGAAAAATTAACTGATGCCACCTTTGATGTTGATGCGGAAATGACAAGTTTAGATGCCGCTGAAACTGTTAATCAAGGTAAACTAGCTAAATATAATAATTGAGTTGGGATATGGTACTTTCTTTACTGAAAGATTAGAGAATTAAAAAAATGAGGATGGCAAATATTTTAACGATGAAGCAGTAAAAAATTATCTGCAAAGTATAAAAGATTTTTTGGAATCGGCGGGACGGGGATTAGATTCCGTGGAACAAAATAAATTAGACCAAATTAATCATTATTATTATATTAAGAATGGTCCAGTTTTCCCCGAAAGGAGAATTCTGCCCATGGAACTTAAAGCAGCCTTAGGAGTCAAAACTAATGTGTTTCGGGATTTAACCAAAACATGAATCAATTATTTCCAAAATACTGATTTCAAAATCAAGGCCGATAAAGTTAATAAACCCCCAGGATCTAAAATCGAAGCTTCGATAATTAAATACTGTAAAAAAACTTAGCTAAAACCCATGAATTAATAAAAGATGATATTTATGATCTTCCAGAAGCCAATGCCAACATCGAGATTGATTAGGTTGATTCTATGTCAACTATCTATTAAGACAGAATGAAAAGGATTAAAAGACGTCCTTGTAAACGCAATTTTAATAAAACAAAAACAAACCATTACAGAATAATTGTGAAAAAAAAAAGCAGTTAGTGTAGTGATTGTGAGTGTGCAGAAACTGTCCCAACAAGTGGAGGGTCATAGACAACATGTAACTGGAATGGTTACTCAAAAGGCTTCAAAATTGAATGCCTTGCAACCTATGAGTCTATATTAATATTCATATCACACGGTGGTAGTCATCTATCGGAAAGCTGGAAAAAAATATTATACATGTTCGCATACATTCTAAAAAGTTTTAAATGTCAAAGACAGATTAAGTAATAGTTACCCTCTTTTGCTTTGGGAGTTGTTGTGTGTAATTTAATTTTAACATGGCTTTAACTTTTACTAACTGAATATTTTACAAAAATAATTTACTCAAGGGTAAAAATTTTTATTTAAAAAATAAAAGAATAATAATAAAATATTTGTTTACTCAATAAATTTAGAAACTTTTATATAAAACCACCATGGAGATAACGCATTGTCTTTTGGGGGGTAAATTTTATTGGAACCAAAATATAAAGTCGGAAATTACTTGGACGAAGAAAATTGATATAATAATAAACTTTAATATTTGCCGATAACTTGACAGCTTTGTTAACAATGTGTAAATATCTCGGTATATTTTAAAAGTTTTTTTTTCCACTCAAAAATGACCAATTACCTTTGAGCTTGTGCTGCCTTTCTGCATGAGAAAGTCTTGTTGGGGGAAAACCGTAGTATGTTCTTTATTGATGGCTTATACAGTCCAGGAAAAAAAATAATGACGGTCAGCAAAAATATTGTAGCAGTAAATCTTGCAGAGTAAGCGTTACAAAAATTGGGTTTAACCCGCTTAAAAGCATCCAGTTATGTTCTAACAAAAGTTGATAATAATGTTTAGAACAAAAATTTTAAATTTAAAAATTTAGTAATAGTAAGTAAACGTGATAAAAAACTGTAGACTATACTTTTTTATTAAGAAAATTAATTTTATAAATTAATTAAAAATAACAAATGCCAGCTCTTTTGCAATTTTTGTTAACAATTTAAAGCTGCTCAGCTGATATTTGTTATACGATGTCTTGGTCAATACCAAGATATGCTTTCTTGCACAAAAGTTAAATGTCAAAACGCGTTGAAAAAATTTTTTATTATCTCTATTACAAGTATAATTTGTTATTATTATTGCAAATAACATTAACTACTGCCATACCAAGAATCACACGTATATGTAAAACTTTATGAAAATTGTATTTGATAAGCAACGCTATTACTTTTTTTCCGGGACCGCATATGTTTACACTGATTTAGGTAGAAAAGTCATCTCACAGATTTGAACACGGAGAAACTTGTAGTTAGATTCCATGCTACTTTAAACTAGAGCTGTTATGTTTGTCGATATACTGGAAGCTGGTTTTATTTGTCTGCGATTTTGTTGACAATATTTTAGAAATATTTATCTTCGTAGCACTTTGTAATAAGGTTGACAAATCGATCATCTTAGTATTGGATTTATAAATATTATTATCCCATTATATATCCCAGCCCGTATGGGCAAATTAAAATGCTTTATTGTACCTCTGTACATATGTATAAGTTTAAAACCAACTTACAGTTTATCTGTAGTTTGGACAATAAAGTCGTTATAGTTACATTAACGACAAATCGATCGTAATGTAGCCTAAAATGTATGAAATGTGTAACGTATTTCCTTCTATGTTACCAGAGAGCTAGCTAGCAATATGATAACACTAAGTGTGCAGACTTTTAACAAAATAAGCGCTCCAGACAAAATTCGACCGCTGATATCTTGAGCCTTTCCATATGAACGCCATATCCGAACGATGATTTATCGGCCGATTGTTAGGTTATTATTTTACTTGTTAATATTCTTATTTGTGCAGTTTGTTATAATAATTTATACCCCTAAAAGTTGGAGACAACTTACGGCCCCGTTTCTTATTTAAATTATCTCATCATATGATATGCAGACAAAAAAGCAAGTCTAGGAAGAAGCTTTGCAAACAGTTTAACTCTCAGTTTAAAATTTATTGGCCAACAAGTCTTTCCGTTGAAAACTGTAATTTGTGTTTGATTAACTTTCGGCCTGATTTCTATTAATATGTCTTGTGGGAACGAACCCCCTGAAAATAAATCCCATCAACCCGGATCAATCGACTTGCTGGGGAACGTAAACTCTTGGTGGTGTATGCTAATCAGACTTCTGCAAGTACACTTCCACTCTGCTGCATGACTCAATCAATATCGATATCTTATTTATAGCTCTATTTGCGAATAACGTCATTGGTTTCGGCGGTAAATAGTAACGAAAAAAATTTCATGCAAAAATATGAAATCATTGTGGGGTGATGACACAAACATGCGTGTAACACACAACCAGAGAAAACGCCTGTGTTATCAAAGATTGCTCACCGACCCCAAAAAGCCCTTCGCTTAGAGTCCAAATTAGCGGCAAATATGAACATTAAGCCATACTCATATTCCGAAACTGACTCTGGAGTCAGAGTTCATATCTTCAAACCGACTATGGAAGAGTTCAAAGACTTCTATTCATTTGTTACGGCTATCGACCATTACGGGAAAGAGACTGGAATCGTAAAGGTGATCCCACCAAAGGAATGGTCAGTCCAAATAATAAAATAAAATTACTGTTATGAAACCATTCCAGCAAAATAATTAAGCAGAGCTCTTTTTTGGTTAAATATTTCAGGGCTCAGAACCTACCCGATCTCAAAGAGAAGGTCCAAACTCTGACAGTAAAGAACCCAATAGAACAGATGTTTACCGGTCGAGCAGGAGTATATAAGCAAACGAACGTTGAATTGAAAAGAGGCTACTCTTTAAAAGAATGGCAAAAGATCTGTTTACGTGAAGAACACCGTCCTCCCCCAGAACGACAAGCGAAGGCACGAGAATTCGCAAACAAAAAACGAAAGCTTCCGGCAGATTTTGAACAGACGAATAATAATGATGAGAAGGCTGACGATTTTGATTATCGCTGGCCCAATCAATATCTATATACGGATGAGTACTGCCGAGAACTCGAAGGACAATACTGGAAATCTATTTTATATAATACCCCTATGTATGGGGCTGACATGATGGGTATATAATTTATGGCAAACCCTGTTCATAATAAGATCTCATTTACTTGTTTCGTTTCATTACTTACTATTAACGCAAATTATAACCTTTGACTGCCAGGTTCTTTATTCGATAACAGAACGACAGCTTGGAATGTGGATCGTCTAGAAAATTTGCTCAACAGGCTTAATGTCAGCATTCCTGGGGTTAACCGGGCCTACCTTTATTTTGGCATGTGGAAAGCGACCTTTGCATGGCACGTCGAGGCAAGTAGAAAGAGGAAAAAGAAACAAAAGCAAGCAAGACGTAATGGAGTGTGTGTGTTTCACATCAGCGTACATCATCGTAACGTTTGCTAATTTTGAAATTTCAGGATTTTGACCTTTACTCTATTAATTACATCCACTTTGGAGCACCGAAGCAATGGTACGTCATTCCTCCAAAGTTTGCGGGAGAATTTGAGTCGTTTATGCAAGGTAAGCAAAAACTTGTTCGACATTAGCTCGTACCACCATCAAAAGAAAAATTTTTTTCTCAGCATGTTGTGTTCCATGCTCACGTGATGTAGAGAACAAAGTAGGTTAACGAATATTCCCTTCGATTTGAATATGCACATAGGTCAATTCGCGGCGGAGCACCGACAATGCCGCCAATTCTTGCGGCATAAGATGTTTCACGTGTCGCCCAAAGTCCTTGCTGATAAAGGTATCCCATGCGGTCGACTGGTTCAGCGCCAGGGAGAATTTGTTATAACCTTTCCGTATGGGTACCATGCTGGTTATAACTTGGACTATAATTGCGCTGAATCAGTCAACTTTGCACTAGAGAGCTGGGTGCCGTTGGGCAAGAGGGCACAATTTTGCCCCTGCCAGGGAGACAGCGTGAAAATAGACGTCGGCACCACATTCAGTGATCTTTTGGATGGCGGCGGCGCGAAAGATGAAAGTATAATAGTTTCAGAGAGTGAGAGACATTTGATAGGTAGTAATAAATATCCTCGATACGCAGTTTCTCGTATAACCAGCTCATCTCCGAGAGAGCTCTGTACGATTTCGTTAAAGAAAAAGAAAAGAAAAAATAAGAAATACTTACACTTTACGCTTATACATACACACTTATATATATATCGAAAAAAAAAAAGCACCGTCGTTCTCCACAAAGCCGAGAATTTCCAATGTATCGGGAAAACGAGCAGCATCGAGTAGAAATTCAGCTGATGTGCCAGTCAAGAAGCCAAAGAAAATAAAACTTGTCCAGAAACAAGAACAGGTAATAATAACCGAATGGCATACGATAAAATACGCTTAATTTTTCTATTTTAATTTAACTATCATTATTCGGGGACTCTTTGACAGTGCGAGCTATGTCCTGTTCCCGAGGGTCCACTTTGTCGTACGGAAGAGGGGCTATTTGCTCATGGGTATAGATTATCAATCTAGTAATACTAATGGGGTTTTTTTTTCAGTCTTTGAGAAGGAACTTTGTTCAAACAATTTAATCTCTGTTGTAGTTTATGTGCGTCGTTTGTGCCGGAAACTTATATTGCCACACTTGACGATGAAGAAGGAACAGAATATGTCGTTGGATTACAAGCTATACCACAAGAACGATGGGAGCTGGTGAGAGAGAGTACACCAAAATGCTTATGAACGCATTTAGTATCGACTCTGACGTTAATAACTACCGTTCAATAGACGTGCGAGGTCTGTAACAGCAAGAACGGAGCCTGTATACAATGTGCCGACATGAAGTGCACTCGCGCATTCCACGCAGCGTGTGCGCAAAAGGGCAAATATCATCTTCAACAACGCATTACTCAGAATGGTGAATTCATATATGAAGCATTCTGTAAAATTCATGACCCGGTGAGTGCGGCCTGTTCTTCTCGAATTATAAAAACCAACATTTTGATTTATTGTCGTCGTGAAGAGAAACATGAACAGTTTGTAATAATATTCTCATTGTTCGTGTGCTTTACGGGGAAGGGGAATGTGCACAGTTATTTTGTATTACTTGTATAAAATTGTGATGATCTGCGTTAATACCACTAAATTTGTATTCAACTTGATTTTAGCGAGTACAGGCTGAGATTGCTAGAAAGAATGCGGAATTAGCACCGTTTGTAGTACTTGGAGCCGAAGTGTGGGCAAAAACCATGGGGGCGTGGTATAAAGGTGAGTAAAGTAGTTGTTGCTTTAGTGGGCGATATGCTTTTGTATATCTCACAGTCTTTTTTTATGTGTAGGGGTGATCGAAGCGAGGGACGACTCTAGGGCGGCTTGTCGAGTCCTTTTCAACGATGGGTAATTTATCTTTCACGCAAAGTTTGTATGAATTGTTTGGCATATAATTCAAACTTGTTATTCCATTTGTAGTTATACAAAGACAGTCTATTGGCGAAGTCTTCGATTCTCAGATCCAGAGGCCACTGCTCTATGATTCCTATACTAGTGCCAATAATAATGTTAGATCGTGTGAATAATGGTCACGTGAATAAAAAATTTTCTTTATCGTTCAGTCAAACAGACGGGGGACTCTTCATCTTTCATACATAACGGAAATTAGATATGGGAACTAAAAATAACATAAACAAACCACCACCACGAAATTTGCAAAGGGAAAGGCGAATAAAGAAGCAAGCACATAAGAAGAACTCTCGACTCGGTAATCTGCAATTAGTGACGCACGCAAAAGTACTGTCAAAGAAGAAGAAGAAGAAGCAGTTGCAAAGGATCGCTTTACTGGTAATCAATTAAATGGTTGCGATGTTATTGGAGAACACAAAAATAAATGTATTGACAGTATTTATTGTATATGTTAATAATGTCATAATGATAATCGTGGGATGCTGTCTGTTGTAATGATTGTGCACATAAAATTTCCAGCAAAATGACCTTTTTGAAAGAGAGAAATTGCTGCCAGAGAAAGACATGACAGGTATACTTTTATCAAAGTCCTATGCTAGATGAAATAATTACTTAACGAGAACGTACTATGTATGTATGTATGTATGTATGTATTCGTCAACGTAGAAGCGGCAAAAATTGAGGCTGAATCGAATGCAGTCGATTCGATGGAAATTACAGCCATGGGCGGGGGAACTACCCTTGGCGGTCCTCCTAACCAAGCCAACTGATATAACAGTGTGTGGACAGTAAATGGGACTTGCCGAACTGAAGAGATTGTTATTACAATGATGATTAGACTACTATATTAGAAAACAATGGATTTGAGATGTATTCGATCTATAATCGTTTGATATCATACAGTTTTCTTAATTGGGTAAATATTATTTCTTTATTGATGATGACCGTACAGTTGATGCAAGCTTGTGCCTCAACGCCATTGTCGTTGCAGTATGTCATTTTCCCCCATTGTTGTTGATGGCTGTAATCTGCGCGGGGTTTATAGCACATCCATTTCAATTTGTACAAGTTCACAATCCCCACTTTTACTCCCTGTCATCGCTCTTGTAAAATTTTGAGAGGTGGGGACATTTAGAAATTAGAGATTAATATTAATAATAAGAATAATAATAATCTTATTATTATTATTATTCACGACAGAATTGTATGCTGTATTTTAGTTAATGGGGTAAAATGAAAAGATGGAATGTTTACATAAAGTTGAAGAATTTTTTTTTACGCCGTTCTTGTCATTATGTTCGTTGTAGTGAGTGGTACTTGCTTTGTTTGTGGACCCTTTGAACTTTTTATGATGTCAAGATTTATGTGATTGACAATGAAGACTATTGTTAGACAGTGGCTCAACTGCAGGGGTATATAGTTTAGGCATATCTATGCTAGTTCCAAAGAGATAACATTTTGTGGGGTGAAAGAAAGGGGAGGGAAAAAAAGGGGAGGGGAGGGGGGAGGAAGAGGCAGGGGAGGGGGAAATACCGATGACAATGTATATTATTCGGACGATATAACCTTAATTACTGATGGTTTAGTGTTACTCACCAATGGATTCATTTTAATGTCAGTTAATAGATAAGATATGATCTTTTTGATTTGCATTGAATTCGCTGGCGTGCATATAACTTTGCTTTGACATGTAAACAATCATGCATTATGCAACAGAGCGCGTGACCATTTTCTTGGGGCGGTGGGGAAAAAGGATGATAGGAATAATATGACATTGGATCGAATGTATATAGTTAAATTCAGTAAGTATCTGTTTTATGCACCCCAACTCAACTAGTTGAGCAACCTGTAGAAAAAAAAAAGCTCAACAACAATTATGCGTAAATTACAAGTAACCATAGTTGTAGCTGATGTGATAAGAGAAAATAATAATAAAAATATAATAATAAAAATATAATAGTAATAATAATAATAATAATAATAACAACAACAACAACAACATCAACATCAAAACAACAATAACAAATAACAATAAACACTGTTGCTGTTGATATATGCTATGTGCCAAATTGCAAACATAAAAGCAGTCGCTTTCGTTTTTCTCTCCCGCATCGGCTTCGATCGTTGACGCTGTCATTCCCAAACAGGGTTGATATCCAGCCATCGCGTTCGTACTATTCGATATTGCTTACCTTTATTCGTCGATATTACAACTACGATTATCCACCTTTTTAAGCTATAAGATTTATCGTAAGATACAACGAACAATAAAATCTCTTGTAACGATTTTTGACCTTTCTAGCGAGGTTAGTCTCATTTAATTGAACTGTACGAACGTTGGTTTGTTACGAGATTTGACAAAGAATAGCCGTTCGAGAGTATTATTCGCATAATAATCATTTTCATTCATTTTTTTTTTTAGAATCAGGAGTACTCCTGCATCAACAATTAAAATTCGACGGTTAGTATGCATTGATTGTTACTCAAATATCCCGGGAAATCACCAGAATGTAAACCAAGAATGACTGAAGAAACGAAATTAAGAAACAAGATTCAACCCTACATATACGTATATATAGCTACTAGTTCCCATAGTTACTATCAACAAAAGCGTTGTAATGTTTCTTTACGACTACTTTTTCCCAACTGCGAACCATATTTCTCATCTACAACCATCTTCCCCACAAAATACTAGATCACAGCCAAAAAGGTACCACGCACAATACAATAAAAAACGTAGCGCACGAAGCAAGTCAGATTATCGCCAACAACGAAAGATGTCACCAGCAATCCACGTCGGATATTCTCCCAAGTCATTATATAACACCATTCCCAAAAAGGGTACTTTCGACAGTGAGTATCGTTACAAAATAGTAGATCAGATCTGTGTTGAGTCGAATTTGTACAAGATCCTTGGCGTGGAGAAAACCTGTTCATCTGAAGAACTCAGAAGGGCGTACATTCAGGTAATGGAGGGGGAACTATATATAATAATTGGCGTTTCTTACTAAGCAACACCTGTCCGATTTTTCAAGTAAACAAAATTTATCACATGATTAGATATTGATCGTAATTTCTTTCTTCAACAGAGGTCTAGAGTATGCCATCCCGACAAATTTCCCGGATATCCACGAGCAACCGAAGCATTTCAAAGTAGGGTATCAAGTGATATTTGATCATTTTCATTTTATCTCCCCCCCCCCCCGGTTCACTCTCAACTTACCACCTTTAATTGTAAATTAGAATTGTCCTATTCCTACGAGACGCTCATCAAGCCATCTACCCGGAGAGCATACGATGTATCAGGTTCATCTGAATTCAACATGTTTGCTGGATTGGCCGATGAAACTCTGCACGGAGTATTATATCAGCTATTCTTGGAATTCATGGATGGAGACTTTGCGATGATACACGCGCTAATAAGTGAGTATAAAAAAGATGCGAAAATTATGATATATAGCGCTCAGTCCGCTAACCTGTTTGGTTAATTAGATGCATTGAACGAGGGCAACCCTGGTCTCAATATTGGAGAAGATGTAATCGAGACAATGGAGCAACTTTTCAGACGACTGAGAAAACTACTATTAGGTAATTGTGATTCTCATTATGACCGAATTTTATCACTGTTTTGACGTGTTATATTGATAGTTCTTCTTTGCAACTTTCCCCCCGATCCTGCAGCTGGACAAAAATACATGAAAATCATTAAATTTGAATTGATTCGTCTCCATGAAATCCAGCAAGAGCTTCGGACTCTCTCGTATTTTGACGTATTTGGCAGGTTCAAACGTACCATGCAGTTAGCACGCATTACCTTGCGCATACCAATGCTTATCGATTCTGCTATGAAGACAGAGCACAAAATGAATGGTGGTAACGGTGTTCAACACGGACTTCTTGGTGACGGCATGGCTAAATTCCTTGGTGGAGTAGTGAGTGCGCTCGAGACGGCGGAAAATCTCTTGTAAATATTTTGATAATTGCAGACGAGCATGAAGGAGATGATTTTGGTGGCTTCCGATTTGAATGATATTATGACAAAATTCCATTTTTTTATGAATTACTTGTTTCCCGTATGGACACTACTAATATTAGATTTTCTAAGCTAAGACATTCTCTATGATTGATTTGTCGTAAAAGACATTGTAGATATATGTATGTATGCGTGTGTGTGTGTAGATATATATATAGTTATCTCTAGGTGTGTGTGTATATATGCGTGCATGTGTGAAAAGAGAACCAAATTTTCTCGTTTTAAAGTAAATTTTTTTTCATCTTAATGTATGGCTAAGTAAAAAAAGGAGGAAAATATAGTGAACCCTAACAAAGACCAGATTAAAATAAATAATGTTGTGACAAAAAATGACCTCTTTATACGCTTTTGGATAATATATTGACTAGCGTCGCAAACTCGTCTTAATTTGAGGGTTTGTTTACACCAAAGACGGTCACCACCAAAACCAATAATTTTTTAATCCGTAGAATTCGGAATACGAATTGTAAGAATATCGGTTCAGCTAATTCAATTAAGGTTTGGGAAAATAATCTTACATTTTAATTTGTCAAGAAAATAAACCAATAAAAGTCAGATGCGTAGACGTGGTAATAATCTTGTACGTTTCTATTAGCAACAAGACACTTATACGGCAAACTGAATAAACCAAGCATACTGCGACAAAGATAAATAACAAGAGAAATGACTGTAATAATAAAGTTCTACCTTTACGAAATGTCAATGCAGTATCTTGTGCCCATTCTCATAATAGATCACGTCATGTATGCAAGAATTCTATAAATCAAACTTCTCAATCTATTTTCTGCTCACTTGAAATACTTCGTATTCGTCCACTCTAAAGGGACTGGATTCTTCTCTGATCGAAACTTCATAACGATATCTTGCACAGGAACATCTCCCAAGATCATAATTGTCCAACATCCTCAAATCGCTATTCCCAAAATCAGGTCCATTGCTTCCATTAACGTACAGAGCGCCACTCACATGCCCAGGATGAACCCTACTAATCTTTGCCGTTTTCACATTTCTACTGTCGGCAAACGAGAAAATAAAACTATGTGGCGTACTCTTCCAATAGCTTCCCGTACTAGGCGGGTACCAATTTGAGGGGTTGTATCCACCCAACAGCTCGTTAGTGCCCGCAACACGCATCAAGACGATAGTGGAAAGTGCGCTCTGACACCGCGCGTGAAAGACAGAACTAGTGAATCCATCTCTGGTTCCGCGAACCAACAGACGAAATTTGTATGGTATCTGTCCATACGAGTACGCGTTGGAACGCCTATCAATCCATGATGTGATGATGGCCGCATGTTTAAGTTTGAGTAATTTGGAATCGATCGCATCACCGCGCGGAGATAGAGCAAGATCGAGATGCGTTGGTTTCAGGTGATACCAGAGAGCAGATTCGTAAACATCCCTTGGGATTATAGAAATAAAGGGACGCACTTTGGAGTAAAGGTCGTCAATCGACATGCGAAAAAACCTAACATGTGGAACACTTTTCCCTATCCATTTAGCCAACATCTTAATCTCTTCTTCACTCCATCTATGATCATTCTCCCCCTCTCGACCACACCTCCGCTTAGCCCACGCAAGCAAGCTTTCCCAAATTGCCACCTCTTCGACCACGAAATCGTCCCTCTTTAACAAACCGACCACGACATCCTCATCAAAATTGAAGAATTTCTCGCTAGACAAGAGTCCTTCTGACTGGTCGCACAAATTTTCCAAGCAAAATTCTTGCAATTTAATCCACGATGCGTGCTTGAAGGACCTTGTAAAGACCGAGTCAAAATGTGCCTCTAGCCAATCTGATTCGTGAGAGACGAGATGATCCTCAATATGAGAAATAAACTCTGGAAGCATTAGTTCGTCAGCTGCTACAAGAAGTGAGAGCAGTGCCTCGGGTGTCGTCTGTGAAAGGACTATCGTTCCTGTGTAGAGGTATCTGAATTGGTTAGATACGAATAGTGTAGATTGAGGCAACGAAAAAAAGAGAGATTAATAAAAACAAAAAGGGACGGTAGTTGAATGAAGATGAATCGCTAAAAGAATATTTAGCAAGTAACTGAGCGTTCAAACCATTTTACTCTATTAATACAGTCTAGCACACTTGCAACACGTTCGTTATTTTCTTTTTATTACAGCGTGCCCTACCTTAAGATAACCTCAAATATGTTTGGCGCAACGTTCGGTTTTTCGAATACAATCATTCCATCATCCATCTTTACCCACTCGGTTGACAATGCAGCATAAAAATAGGGTGACTGCGTTCTGAGTATCAATGAATGTGCTTTGAATTCCTTGACATTGGGAGCCTTCCCAACAGTTATCTTTACGTCATGGTTCCTGTCTCTTTCAAGCAATTGTTGGAAATTAAGCGAGAAGGTATGAAAGAGATGTAAAGAATGCGAAGGCAAAGATGGGGTCGATGGCATTCTGCGCTATAAAGTAAATCGTATGTGGGAAATGTGAAAAAGGTGAATAAAAACTGATCGGACGAAGTGATGATCGAATGTGACAGAGAAAAAGGTTTGTCGGTGCTCGTGTAAGGATAGTCTTTGGTTTTTTGAACAACAAGTAAATATAAACACGTTCTCGCACCCAATGGTAGCATAAAACATTATCGTCGGTACATATCAAATATTAATATATAATGCGGACGTTTTAACCACGATCGTATGACAAGACAATCAATGCCATATAAACGATTCAATACTTACTGGAACAAGTCCAATTTTTTGAGTATTGATCCTGTTACTGACCATATCGAGGTATCGAGATCAAGGCATAGGACTACATGTCTTTATCAAATATTTACGCTTATATTAACAAGCTTCCTTGGTGGTGCAAAGAAATGCGCTACAGCCTTAGATCATATTTCCACTTATTAAACGGGTAAAACGGACTACTTTAGAAATACCACACGTTTCCCAAACATCTTGAGCACGATTTTCAAAAAGCACGTGTAACACATGTGCCTAGAATTCTATGTCGATATATCAAGAATTGGGGTTTATCAAAAAGATCACATGACAGGTCAAAAACACGTCATAGTAATAGAAACATTTTTTACCATCATGGTAGAGTGCGATAGACTTTAGGCGAATAGAGTGACACAAGCCCAGAAAACAGCGCGGGCCTGAACAGTAGTGTGATAATTCCAAAAAATACAAATTTCCAAGCATATGGGGTCTTTCGGAGAATGACCCTAACAGTCATAGGCTGGATGTTCCACGCTCCGAGTTAAAAAATTGCTCATCCGTTGTACCTACCAATAGTAAGAATCAAAAGGGCCACCTAACAGAACCGCTGATCGTCAGGAGCAGCACAGCGAAGTTAATCAACAAGTTCGTATAGAGATCTATTCAGACCTACGCAAGTTCGATAGAGACAAATTACTAATGCTATGCTCAAAGCGTCAACAATTAAGCGTCACGTTCAGCGTCTCAAACCATTTTTCTCCCAGCGTGACTTATTTTACTAGAATTCGAGATGTTCCGTCATAGTTCTATACTCCATCATCGTACGTACGTATCATATATAAAAGACTATAAAATTTTGAATTTTATTGAAAAAACTATTGTTTACATGACCTCAAAAAAAACCGATTTGGGGCACTCGATAACATTTCCCCCATACATACTACGACACATTTGCACCAAGCACATTGTCTTATTCCTCGAGAATTTTTTCAATATTCTCTACCTTATACGCTGAAAAGATAATCGTAAAGTCAACAACACGGTAATTAATACCAAACTTATCTACGCAACATTGAACGATTACTCACCGGTTTCCTATGTATTAAATTTTGTGCAACGTAAGAACAGTCACGAGAAAGAAATAAAAGAACAAACATGAGCACGTATTATTCGACTTTAACCCTAATTGCCATTCCATTTGTATATATACCTTATGAGTCTTGAGATTTTCAATCACAATTCGAGGCTCTTCCTCACTTGCTTGGACCCGCTTCTGAGTACTTCCAGCATGCTATTTATGAGCGAAAAGGTAGTTACAATCGATACAGTCAATATAAAAGGATTAGCACAAACCATTCGTTCACAATTACCTCAGGCTCAGTAAGAATATCTTTAATGATACCCTCCGTCACTTGTAGACTACCGCCAACAGGGTGATAAAGAACTTTCTGACCTGGAGCGAGGTCTTCCTTGGCAACCATTTCTTTCTCTTGTCCGGATGTCATTTTTTTGATTGCAATTTATCAGTTGGTCTCGCGTGTGTGATACTTGACTGATGTTTTCAGCGCAAATGGCGAGCGAAGAGTTGGGGGATTTGCTTTTCAAATACTTTTTCCAGACGGGATCAAGACGTGCGATATGACAATTTTCGTCACCATACGTCATTATGAAATATCTGTTCGAAGAATCGTTTGCGCTGTTCTCACGAAAGCCGCAATAATGACATAAATCGGACGAACACGACTATTACTAATTATCTGATACTTATGTCAGTGTGAGGACAGTATCACGTGGAGGTGGGGAGGAATAGTTCTTCTGACATAACTACCGTCCATCAAACCCTTTTACCCGGAACAATGACAAAATGTCTGCGAAAATCCCAAGCGAACCAAGTTATTAAAACGTGGCTTACTATCAGGGTTTATCCGAAAAAGACTGAATTCTTGAAATCTGATACCTTAAAAAGTTTAGAATCTTGAAAGAATGATGTCAAATAGCGGAAATTTTTATACAAGGTACAAACAGTGATGTGGCTTTTTGGGTTGTGGGGATTGCCCGAATAATAATAGCAGAATAAACAATATCTGGTGATATGTTTGACAGATCGAGCAATGCTTAAATAGTATGAAAACATTATTGTAATTTATTAAAATTAAAATTTTTTCAATAAGCTGAAAGAACCAATTTATGGGGCGGCTCGTGAAAGTTTCAAGTATAACAATTTTCGGCAAACCTGACAGTTTAGAACAATTATCAATTACGATGCACTTTAACTAAACTTGGAGAAGCACGAGAATATTTTCGAATAAAATTATAGCGAGCTGATTTTTGGTTTACCTTATTTAGGGACATAATATTGATCGAGAAATTACGTCATGATTTCATATTAATATGGTTGGTAAGCGGATGATCTCATCATTGAGCATCGATATAATACAGATCGGAGCCCTCGTAAAAACACAATTATTTTTATTATAACGATTTATCCCAATATTATATAGCGCTAATGCGTTACGAGAGGAATTTTCAAAACTAGAACATGAATGCTTCAGTGTTAATATCTTAACGGAATATTTCAGAACCGCCAATATCACAGGAGTAATTATAATGCATAAACATTTCAGATGGCGGAATCAGTTTTTCACATGCTTTTACCGACATGTCGATTTTCGAATAATAGCATTTTCCTTTTATAGGTAATTACCGAGTCCATTCCTATCCATAAATTTGATAGACTCAAATTTTCAAGTCCGTCGATATAAAATTTATTATTATCGCAAACTATCGACATCGAACTTGTAAAAACAAAGACGAATACAAAACGGTTCCAATTTTATTGCTCGGCCAAAGTATCGGAAGAAGAGTGTGCGAGAGCAGAACCTAAAATCAACAGGAAACTATATTGGACCTACAGAACTGAGCTAAGGTACACGTGTCTGTGAACTGGTTATGAAAGAGCAGTTGTCTCCTGATATATGTGAATAAGTGAGAATCATTTTATTGACTGCTGTTTGGGTAAAGTCCAATGCATCTTTTCCCACTCAGGAGAGCGAAAACTCAGGCAATGGATAAGGACAGCACGATTAGACGTACAATCAATATTTTGCCGCGATCAAAAAAGAAGGTATCTGAGGGCAGGATGTCTCAATGTCGTAAACTTAATTATACCAAACTCAAATGAGTCCTTATGATATGCGAGATGAAGCTACGAATGACTTGCTTAAAGAATATTCTTTTAACTTTGCTGCAAATCGTAAAAAATTCAATATGAGGTTCCGTTCTAAAATAGTTAATTGAAATACTTTTCATATACTGGGGCAAATCTCGTGGAGTGGCTACGCCCCCGCCACACAGCCGCACAGAAATAATAAGTTGTTATTTTTCGTTCTGTTTTTTTTTTTTTTTTATTTCGTTTTTTTTTGTGTTTGTTTGTGTTTTTTTTTTTATTTCGTTTTTTATTTCGTTTTTTAGTTTTTTTGTGTGTTAATGTGCATTTTTCATAAAATCAAGTCAGCAGAGCCTCTTCGAAGTCAACTTGGTTATGATTGTCGGCTTGTCTTGGTGAATTTTATCTTCGTATACCTAAACCACTTGAAATACGGTCCGAAAACCAAAGTCCTTTATTTTTGGATACAAGAAAATGTCTTTATTATTTTTATTATATTATCTATGCATATTTAAGTAACAAAATAGAAAACTTTAACAAATTTATGTATTCAATAATTTAATAGGAAGGATCAGGAGTGATTGCTTCAGAAAAGCTGTTGAGTGGGGGGAGGGAAATGACATTGGTCGAATTTATCGAATAAGTTATACATGTGACAAACTTCGAAGTAAACACGATAGTATTCATAATTAACGAAAACGTTACAGGTAAATTAGAATATATATATTACTTCCAGTAGTAGATTACATCGTGTTTTGTTACGTATTCACAAGAGGATCCGGTGAATGACCATCATTATAAGCTCGCTAAATGGTCAACGACGTATCGGTTCCCTGCATATGTACATCATCTGAGTGGATCTTGTGGTTATATTCATAGACAGCTAGGTGGATTTGCTGTCCTTAATGTAAAACAACGCTTGATAGAGATATTAACGGTGCTCGCAATATTCTTCTTCGATATCTTACAAAAGGGAATCAGCTTAGGCACTGCTTAAGCTAACGCGAGAGTCTATTCCCTTACACGGCTTGTTATCACTCGAATTTAGATTTTACTTAACGTGAAGTTTTTATCAGTACAGTGAACCCTCCCTAAATGCACAGTCTCCCTAATGCACGCTATTGAATAGTCCCAGCCTCGGTAATTAGTGCTAAATGCACACACTTTCTATATTCTGCACGTACAATGGATTTTGCGGTCCCGGCTATATAATATGAAAAATAATCAATGCCGAGTTAAAGACTTCCTACCTAGATCATAAGAATTGCGAATAGAGACCGTGCTATGATCATCTCACTCTACACAAGCAAATTATCATGTTACATTCGAGGTGTGTCATCGTAATAGAATACTATTCTGTCTCTTCTAGCATCAGGTCATTATTTATTTAGACATCAATAGTCAACAGGTTTAATATTATATTCCGCGACAATTTATAATCATAACAGTTCACTGTTCGAGTATTTGAACTGTTTGCCATTGGTTGTAATAAAAATCACACACCGATTGTTTAAGATGCCATCGTGGTCGTAATCATAAAAATCGTTATGACTAATTGTTAGAGGATTGTACTGACATTTCACTGTAAATATGTGTTAAAATATAAGACACTGCAAATATGCCTGAGAGATATATTAGAGAGAAAAAAACTAATCCGATGCAACAGACAAGCATAGATCAATACTTTAACCAATAACGAATGAATATAAGAATTACGTGAATTTCTGTACTCTCCCTAAATGCACGTTTTTGCAAAAGTTAAATCTAATGTGTTATTACTATTGGCCGCGGCAAGAAAAGAATGCAATGTCACGTGTTTATACAATAATTGTAAATGTGATTGGTTCATATTCGCTTTCAAAAATTGCAAAAACGCGTTCTGCTTTGCAGTGATCATGGCTGACAGAAAGTATTATGTCTTTCATATTTGTACGGTTTCTAACGTAGTTTGTTAGCCACACTCGAGTAAACCATATATTAACTGTATTTTATTCATAACAGAGCATATGGTGTCAAACCAGCACCCGATTTTGCATGCCGAGTACGATATCAGCATATACCTCCGCCATTGCCATCACATCCAGTGCGATTTCAACTACCACGCACAATAGACGGTTGTGATCAATATGCTCGGGGTGCGGGCCTAGTACAGAAGCATCCACTTCCTCTGCTAATTGACAGTCATCTTGGAATGGCTGTTGACATAAGCTCGTTACCTGATGCACTAGTGGGTGAAGACAATGGTAAACGAATGTTTTACTTATGCTTGTCGGGCCTTCGATAACCCAAGATTTTAATAATCGAGCATTATTAATTTTTCTGCTAGAAGTAAATCCGTCGACATATCAACAGATCGATCCAGACGACGAACCACTTTTTGCTCCACCCAGAGATGCAATTGATAAACCAAGTCCAACAGGATTGAAAAAAAAGGAACCCAAATTTTGGCTGCGTCGAACGCAGTACATCAGTTCAGAGATAATAAATCAACATAAACCAGCCGAGCGGTATAGTATTTGTTTTGTTTGTATTCCTTATTACAAATTGGTCATTTTCTCGACTGGTAGGATACTAACGAATACTATATTTTTAGCACTGCAAAGGCAACAGAAATCACGGAAAGGACGAGAGAGGAACAGATACGGGCTATCGAAAAGTCATTTGATTCCGTCAATGATGCTGAAAAGCTGAAGAAATTGAAACACCCTACAAAGGCGGATGTCCATGTCGAAGAAATAATCCCCCTATTTCCCGATCTGAAAGAAATGGATATGGCTCTAACACACTGTAGTTTTAACACTGATCCGTTTGAAGGTGCCGAGGAGCGTTTGCGTATGGTAAGTAGTGTGCTTGGTAATGATTCGATGTTGATGTCATAGATTATAACAGTATTTTTATAATATTGTAGATTATACAAGGGAAGGAAGAACGCTTAGAGAATGCGCTAATGGTGCCAGTGGTAGTAAACGAAGAAAAATTCCTAATGCACTATCTTCCTTCGGCAGAGACAGCGGAACTTATTAATCGAAAACGCAAAGCCGAGTCTGATGCTGACTATTTTGATAAGGTATTATCAAAAATTTTTCAAAAGATCGGAAACGTTACGTTTGATTAAATACTCACATTGTTGGTATTTGTAGTTGCACACATACATGTGGATCCGTGACTATATATACGATAGCCACCGAGACGATAAGAAAACCGGTCACCTTTCATTTGTCTTTCGTGACGATGACCTCGAGGACAAATTCCGCATGGAATCAGACTCGGACAAAATGGCATATTTCAAAGTGATACAGGGAAGGTTGTTGTTAAAGCCGAGGCGACCAACGGTATGGTTTTTCCAATATTTTAGTTGTTGAACGTTGCCAGAAACTATTTATTTACGTGGTGTAACCGTCCTTAGCAAGGGAACAAATATCCAGAGCAGTATGGCAAAGCTTCACGTTTGCAAGCAAAATTTAAGAAGAGCGATGTTAATGTGCAAGAAAATGACTTGTAACTATTCCGTAGTATAATAAGTAATCGAATTTGAATCGACATGTGCGTTATTTAATTCCAACAATAGCCGTCTAAGGAATTGTGAGAAATAATCTATTTTTGCGAAAAGCCGAGCGTGCTACGATTTTCAAATTGAGATCGTAAATTATGATCAAAGTTTGGGCCATTCGTTATTGATTGCAACTATTAATAATTGAGAAGTCAGTCTTTATGTTTGGAGCTATGCAATATACTTGTGCAGCAAACAATGCAGTTTTGTCATTTGAAGGGTAAAATTCTTTATTGGAAACTTTAAAGCGCGTGCTTTCTGGTTCTGGGAGTGTTGATATTGATCAGCGAAAACATTGGCCCATAGAATTAAATCAGGGTATATACGAACACTCTATGATAGAAGGAAACGGATTGCTTCGCCTAATTCTTCCGTTATCCTATAGTCATTAATTCTAACTTTGTAACTAGTCAACGAGTAGATAAACTGCCGGTTCCAGGATATAGATTCATATTTGAAATCTGAAAGATTTATAGCGTTTTAAACTTTCTACCTGCCATCACCTCAAATACAATCATATGATAAGGTTAAATATTGTGATGCAAAAGATACTTTTTTATCGAGTATAAAAACAATGTTCGCGAGATAGCGATCGTATCAATCAACGTAAATAGTGACGCGCGCCACTCCGTTAGTTGGTTGTATAAGTAGATGAAGTTTGCATTATCTAAACATTCCCTTCGAATACTAGTGCTTATTATTTACATAACAAACAACGCAATGATATCGCTTATTCAGTAGAAATTTTGACAAAACCAAACCATTACTAATTAATGTCTCGGAGATTATTGGTAATCTCTCGACAAAACCTATGACAGAGCCACTATATTAATACGTATCAGTTAAGACGACATTAGATTAAAATCTGTTTAGTATGAAACGCTAAAACTTTTTTGGCGGTGAGTTAGGAAAGATATTAAAAAAAGGCCTAATACTAATACTAACAATTTACTTTAAATCCGGTGTCGTCAGATAAAACTTGATCCAACGCTTATAAATAAAATTCTATAGTTAAATGGGTGTTTATTTCCGAAACTATACGATATTCGAATTAAAAATCGAAACGACCATAAACATATTACCATGACAAATCAAGAGCGGAACTATAAACGTTAACTTGGAATCAACCATTAACGAAGAAGTTATTTAATCATCGAATTATTGATGACTTGTTAGTATAACGGAGATTCATGTGATTTATCAATTTTAGCAGATGCTCGTAAACAACAAGGTTCGCCTTTATTTGAGCTAACAGTAAAAGGCCTGTATATTCAGTCTAGTGTCAGTCGACTATCATGAGATTTTTAATTGCGTGGCGAAAACGAAAGACATAATGTATCTAATTTTTTAAATATTGCATATAATGCATTTTGGTTGAGGCAATTAATTTTTCGGTCTGGATGCGCTAAATTTCGTACCACTCGAACCATCGAAGGAAGGAAACTTTACTTGGATTCAATACTGAGTACTTGCCTTTTATCATTTATTACAATGGATCAATAATAATAATAAGCGAACAAAATGTTACACATGATAATCATTATTTTGCCAGCGTGATTTTTACATTCACCTTACCAACTCTCCCAATGAATATCATTCGAGGTGCTTTGCCTGTTTCATATATTTCTTCTTTCGCTCGCTTATCTAAACACAATGCAACTTCCTTCCGCTTATTTTCCACATCTTCCTGCCTACTCTCTCACATTGGCCGTACGCCAATATTATATCCACCAGAAGTCACAATAACTCATGACCCCAAGCCAATATTAAATCCCAAACTAAAATCAGAAAAAGACAATACGCTATTAACAATATCTGGCCCGAATGGCACACACTCGCTTCCGATAAAACCATTCATAATCCTGAATTTCTCTCATCCAATCTTATCATCCAACCCAATATCAACGCAGGAAGCTAAATTAACGGTCAATGTAATGGATCCGTGTGAAAAAGAGCAACGTAGTATGTGGGGTACTACACGAGCATTGATCGCTAATTATGTTACTGGAGTTACCGAGGGACACGGAGTATCATTACGGTTAGAAGGCGTTGGGTATAGGGCGGCAATCGAGGAGGGCAAACTCGCATTGAGAGTTGGTAGAACACACCCAGACATCTTGGACATACCTGAAGGCGTTAGATGTGAGGTGCCAAAGCCAACAAAGATTTTGTTGAGTGGATCAGATAAGAGGGCTGTCATGCAGTTTGCTGCCGTGATTAGGAGTTTTAGAAAACCCGAACCGTATAATCAAAAAGGTATATTTGTTGGTGATGAGACTATCAAGAAGAAAATTCCCAAGAAGAAATAGATATTGAGGAATTGTAGCCCCGAATGAGGGATGCGTGTAAACTAATGATACGGAAGCAATAATTAATAGAGTAAGGATCATAGTCATCAAGAAAAATGCAATGTTGGTTGCGGAGCTTCCGATCAATAATTCGAACCATGTACAAAAAAAAAAAAAACTTAAAATTTCATTAAAAACTTGTGGGGTGCGAACAGATGATATTCAGCGCACTTAAACGTTAAATTAAGTAGTCACCAATATTCTATCACACGCCATAAAATCTATTTTCTATTTTTATCGGCAAGACACGCTTGCTTATGCCCCTTCCAATTCTTCTTCTGACACTCTTTAGAACAATAGTAAACTTTTCCGCATCCCGCACATCGTAGTAATTTTGACTTCTTGTCCTGATCCAACGCTTCGTTCTCCTCTTTACGTTCAGTACTCTGGCAATTATTACATTTCTTGACACTTTCAACACTAGCATCAAGAGCAGGACGTCGTTGTGATGCAGCCGGGTTTTCTGATTCAGACTGACGTTTGGGCGTCTTTGCTTCAAAGTGGTTAACGGCCAACCTTTTGGTTTCGCCCATCTCGGGCGCGCGTCCATACAATTCTACGAACCGTTTTTCAGCATCTTTCGCCTTTTTATAGTAAGAAGTTGCCTGCTGGTTACGCAGGTTCTGCAAAACCTGGTTTCGATTATTGGGGGCTCCGGTAGCAGAAGCATTCTGAGAATTGAGAACAGACAACGCATATAATGCCTGCGAATATGAGGAAGAATCTTTATGAGCTTTGTCGACACACATTTTAAAATAACGTATTGCTTCCAATCGATCATCCCGTTGCATGTAGATGGTTCCAAGCAGACTGTATGCGTCGACAAACTCGGGATCTAGGGCAATAAGACGTTCGAGATCTTTAATGCAAGATTTATAATCACGCAACGCCAAATAGCATGATGCACGCAAGTAGACAAAGCGAGGCCGGAGTTCAGGTTCGAGTTTGTAGGCTAGATTAAGAGTTTGGATACAGTACTCGTATTGTTTGCCATTAAATAAAAGCCAAATGACTAAGACGAGAGATCTTTTGGTGTTAGGGTTGAATACGAGCATATTAGATCATGACATGGCAGCTTCCTCCTCTCTCCTCCCCCATCACCTAAGATGGTGATCACTTTTTTTTCTATTCATCTCCTTATTCTCCAGTCATGACTTACTCTTTCGTGAACTCTGGTTCAAAGTCATCAATATTTTCAGCCTTGGAAGCTTCATCTTCTGCTTCGTCCATGTCATCACTTTTCTCTTCTTTAACCTCCGTCGCCGTCACCACATTTTCCTTCGCCTCAGCAGTCTCTGTTTCTTTCCCCTCAGCGGCCTCTGTTTCTTTCGTCTTCTCTTCATCATCCTTGTCATTCTCATCCTTCTTTGAATCATCACCATCTTTAATCGTCGTTTCCTCTTCCTTTTTCGTATCCTTATTGTATCGCGATTTGAGTAGCTTCTCGTACTGTTGAGCGAGCGTCATGACGCGTGGGGGCATGTCCGTGGCTTTTTCATCAAGTATGAACGCTGCGACGAGATTCTGGGTTGCCTCGAATATTTGCTGGTGATATTGCAACAATACTTTAACATCGTCACTTTCAGGAATCTGATTGGCAAGCTCGTAACCCTTCTTAAAGAGTGATTTTGCTTGGAAGTACTAAATTGAGATTGATTATTTTTTAATGGTGGTAAAGCCGTGGATATGAGCGTGAACTAGAATAGAGTATGGCTCGATCCGACATTTTTTCATTTCTTTATCGACTCAAGTAAATAGCCTTACCCTTTTAACTCCTGGGTCAGAAGTTTTGTCAATGGTACCTCGTTCTTCAAGCAAATCATAGTCAATAGACCTTTTCACTCTCTCAGCTTGACCCGTAAGTTTGTCATGAGAATGGTCGTGAGAATGGTCGTGAGAGTGGTCGTGAGAGTGGTCATGAGAGTGGTCATGAGAGTGGTCATGAGAATGGTCATGAGAATGGTCATGAGAATGGTCGTGAGTATGGTCATGAGAGTGACCCTCGTGCTCTATTTCGTGAGTATGTTGGTGACTCTCGCCGTTGGCATCGTTGGAAATGTCAACCGTAGCTTCAGCAACTTGCGCCATCTTGTCTTGTTACGCTATATCGAGCTAATACTTTAAACAAGAAGGAAAGCGATTAGTATCGTTTCAATCTGCTTGCTCCGATTGATGTGTTTGTATATGCGTTTTTTCCTCCTGCTAAAAATGATCGTCACACATTGTCACTGCGTCAATCTTCCAGAGTATTGGGCTCGGTTGAATCGATCTATGCATAACGTGTAGATTGGATGTTTTTCCCGCGTTAGTCACATACTGAATAATAATAATGCCAAGTAGTCATCAAGGGGAAAACGTTGGTTGATTTCACGTAATAATAAACCTTTTTCATGATGAATGTGTTTCGAATTAATTAATAGACTCTTCCGGTAATTTTGTAAAATGTCGATCCAGTGTAACGGAGAGTCTTGACGAGTTTACATTGAAGATCAAATATTCGAATTTCTCAACTAATACAGGCAGTATGATTTAAATTAATAAACACGTTTTTTTTAAAATTCTGACGAGGCGACGTCATTAATGGAAGAGATCAAGTCACTGCATGTGATAAGCTTGAAGGTAAAAAACAATTAAGGCGGGAAACTTACAGGTAGACTTTATTTACTTCAACTGTGAGATTACGTCCGCATTCACAAGAGATCTGTTGTCTTTAACCTCGATTGCTGAAAGGGTATCAGCTCTTACAAGACTTTCTATTATCTTATTATAGATGGCCACTTTATAGTGCTACTGTGGCGCTTGACAGTTTAACCAATGACCGACTCGTCATTGAAATTTCAGAACCCTCCCCTGAATTTTTGTGGCGTCATGCACATTTAGTCACATTAACATATTCGATTCATTCCTTTCGTTTGAGATTCCGCATTAACTATTGTCTTTGAATTACACTAGCATTTCGAGTTTAAATTGATCTCGGAAAAGAGCTAATATTTCAGTAATAATGGGTTTTTACTTGCCAACCGAATGCCTTCAGAAGATTTTATCTTATATCGATGAAGAAGACATTTCGACTCAATACTCTTGCCTGTTAGTCAACAGGATATGGCATGATAATACACTCCCAATTCTTTGGAGAAGACCGTTTGCTTATGTCAAACCAAAATATTCCCATAAAGTTCTACATGAATTGCTTTTATTACTCCCAAATGAGGTGAAAAAGAAGCTGGGATTACTTATGATCAACCTTAAACCGATAAATAACTACGCACGGTTCATCCGCGACATCGATTATTTGCATTTGGTTGTAGCTGTCGATACTTGGTGGTCATCCGACTTGCGAAATGAGTTTGTGAACAACTTGCTTCTTCCCAATGGATCTAAAGTACGGCCAGATAGTCCCATGCCTCCAGCACCATACTTTTGCGACGTAGAGACATTCTCTGCATGTTATTTGCAAGCAACAACGGCTCTGGAAAGGGAGAAGTTTATATGCGAACTGTGTAAATTAATTCTTAGTCAGGCTAATCGGATTGATCGATTAGCGCTAGATTTGGAGAAGTTGAGTGATGATTATGTTAACAATGTTGTGGAAATCCCAAGAATGCCCGAAGCCCAGATATCATTGGCGAATATTCGTGAGTTTGTATGCAAGGGCCACTTTCCTAAAGAACACGTCTTTCGCGAAATGGCAAAGTATTGTCTGAACATCGATAGCCTAGAAGTCGGCAATCGTCTCAGATGGGATCGTCCTAGGTGGAGTGCCGCCAATGAGACTTGTAGTGCATTGGCGCAACTGATCTCGGTACAACGAAAATTGAGAAAGTTTGTATTAATTGAGTGGAAGATCAAGGATCTCGAACTATTCAACGCACTGAAAACACAGTCGGAATCGCTAAAGCACTTTGAAATGTACAAGAGTAGTATAAGTAATTGTGGTCCATTGACTGCCTTGAGCAAGTGTTGTAACTTGGAGATATTTAAGATGGACGCATGCTTTGGGACAACGAGCATTCATATGAAACCGTTGACTTATCGTGCTTTCCCCAAGCTGAGACATTTTACATATATTGACACCATATACCCAGACGTTCCTGAATTCGACAATGAATGGGATCCCCCGGTTGAAGAGTTTGCAGCTATAATGAGCAATGCAGGACAATACCTGGTCGAAGTGACGCTAGGGATGGATAAGAAGAATTATCCAGTAATATTCAAGACACTGTCACAATTCTGTCCAAATGTCAAGAAATATGTAGCAGTAATAGAATGGGCATCAGATATAATGCATTTAATGCCCGGCATCGCTTCTTCATGTCCTAATCTTGAGGAATTATCCATCGAAGTCCTTATGAAGACGTTTCATCCCTCCGAAGAACTGATCAATTTGGTTGGGACACTGCCTTCCTCTTTACAATACTTCCGCATAAATGCGTGTGCTGAATTCTTTGGCGAGGACTTGACGACGTTTATGAACAAGTGTCCCCCTAAGCTCAAGGAGTTCACATGGTTGACTTCATGCACTTCGTGCGAGCGTTATATGCAATTGTCACATGAGAGGTTTAAGGAGTATAAAGTGTCTCTATCTTCAGAGGGCGAACGTCGACATCATTTGATTCTCAAAAGTGTAAATTAGAATACCGAGTCCCCCCCCCCCTCCCCCGATTTAATATTATTTTAATTAAATTAAATATCTTTGGTACTCATTACGTGAATCTTTTTGCCCATTCTTCTTTTTCTATTTTGCATAACTCATCAAAATCTTTGGTCCTGTCCATATTGATACAAGGTTGATTCATCCAAACAGTAAGCAACACCATACCGTCTTGCTTTTCCTCTATTCGATTGAATTCACATAAAAGCTTCTTCTTGAAAATATATTCTTCTTTGTACATCGTAAATATAGAAATAAAATGATTTACTACAACGCAAAAGATTGTATTAGCGTTTCATTAACATAAAGCGAGCGTGCAACTGAATTTATTGTAATGTAATTACCCAGTTTCTGTAAGGAACACGTCAAATAGACAGGGACGAATTGGACGTGTTCATCTCCAAGATCATTTTTTGCTTCTAAAAGAAGACGTTCAAGCGTCGTTTGGTAACTTTCCATTTTTTGGTACTGCTGCGTCTATTGTTAGAGAATGATGTATTCAGAACATCGTTTAACGTATTCAAGACTATA